GGTTATTCATATATAAATTATAATCTAGGGGGAGCAATTTAACAAACAAGTGCACACTTTTGGTGATGTATATTAAAGCAAAAGTAAATCAGGATATTTCCGGGCTTCCATTTGAATAGCAGTTAGGGACGGGCTCTTTAACACGTCATCTCTTGCATAGAGAAGTCTCACTTATACTAAGAGGTGAGTGTGAACATGTCACCTTGATACCCAAACCAGATGGGTGCACACCCACTGAAGCCCTGTTGATTTGTGAACAGACTTCAAACTTTGTGAAGAACAGGTGCAGCAGAAAATCCTACCCGTGTAGAACCCATGTTTATGGTCTTAAGAAAAAAATAATCACATTTTCTGTCAAAACATGCTGAAGAGACATTTGCTAAGCCTCAATGTTGCTCACAATAAAAGCAATCGCACAGAATCTCTCCCCAGAAACCCTCTGTCCAAGCTGGCCAGGGAATCAGGCAGGTGAGATTCACTCTCCTCATCTTCCAAATTCCAGTTCTCCAGTCTCAAACCCAGATTGGGTAGACCACCCGACGCGCCCTCTCCTTCCTCTCTGACCTCACTCCTAGGGGACTAAGCCAATCCTCTCTAACAGCCTCCCTTCCTTACCCTCGCCCATTTCCACCCCCCCCCCCCTCCCTCTCTCTCTCTCTCTCTCTCTCTCTCTCTCTCTCTCTCTCTCTCTCTCTCTCTCTCTCTCCCTCTCTCCCTCCCTCCCTCCCTCCCTCCCTCCCTCATTCCCTCTCCCTCTCTCTGGAAACCCTCTGACCAAGGTGACCAGGGAATCAGGTAGGCAATCTTCATTCTTCTTTTCATCCTGTGGTTCCAATTCCGAGTCTCACTCCTCCTGTGGCAGGCCATCAGCAGGGGCCTGTCTTTCCCTTCTTTTTCCATTCCCTGTGGACTCCACAGATCATGTGGCAGACCGAGCTTCCCTTCTAGCCCATCACCATTCCTGTGTGTCAGCTCCCAAAGCCTCGAAACAAGTTCTGCCGGGACTCCCCAGTGGTTACATCTGATAAGGCCTCAGAAGCACTCCTCACCAGGTAAATAGAGGCACCACCCTCTCCTGAGTTCTAGAAAGGGCAAAGAAACCAAGGAGCAGAAAACCCACCTAACAAAGACAAGACTAGATATCAGCACCTAGAACTACAATAAATCCAAACCCTGATATCAGTCTAAATACTAGCATAAAGACACAATCAATAACAGCCAGGACAATATGTATTCACAAGAACAAAGCAAACCTACTACAGTTGGCCCTGAGAAATGAAACATAGCTGAACCACAAGACGAAATCACTATTATGAGCTTATTAAGGAGCTTAAAGATGATATGGATGAATCCATTAAAGAAATCTATGAAAACACAAACAGTGGAATGAAATGAAGAAAACTGTTCAAGACATGACTGTGGAAATAGAATCAATAAAGAAAATCCAAACTGAGGGAAAACTGGAAGTTAGGAACTTTTAATGGCCATTCTCAGTTGTCAATGTGACTATATCTGGTATAAACCATAATCCAGAAATGGAGGGCACACCTATGAGAGATATTCTGCTTGGTTTGAAGTGAGTGAATTCACTTCTAGTCTGGACCTTTGAGGTGAAAAGACACACCTCTGATCTGGATCTTGAGGCAGAAGACACACCTTTTAATCTGGGCCACACCTTCTGCTGGAAGCCTGTATAAGGACATGGAAAAAGGAGGCTTTTGCTCTTTGCCTGCTTGCCCTCAACTTGCTAGCACATCCATTCCTTTACTGGCATGAGAGCATAGTTCTTTGGCATTCCAGCATACACAGAAGAGAAGCCGAGACATCCAGCCCTGTGGGACCAAACAGCTACTAGATTCTTGGACTCTCCATTCACAGCTAGCCATTGTTGGACCAGTTGGACTGCAGTTTACAAGTCATTACAATAAATTCCATATACATATGGAGAGAGAGATCCATTCCATACGTTCTGTGACTCTAGAGAACCCTTCCTAATTCAGAACTCAATCCGGACATCAGAGACAGGCCTCCCTCACCAACAATACAAGAGATTAAAAACAGGAAGTCTCAGGTATTGAAGATGATAGAGGAAATGGATTCCTCTGCCAAACCCAAAATGTTAAGTCTAAAACACTCCAGGAAAATTGGAACACTAGGGAAAGACCAAATCTACAAATAATAGGAATGGAAGAAAGATAAGAAATACACGTCAAAGGCACAGAAAATATTCTCAACAAAATCATTAAAAAAAAAAAAAAAACTTCTGTAACCTAAAGGAGGTGCCTATGAAGGTACAAGAAGAGAAGCATACTGAGTGCCAAATGGACTAGACCAGAAAATAAATTCCCCACAACACACAATAATCAAAACACTAAACATACAGAACAAAGAAAGAATATTAAAAGCTGAAAGGGAAGAAGACCAAGTAATATATAAGGCAGACATATTAGAAGAATACTTGACTTTTCAATGGAGATTCTAAATGCCAGAAGGGCCTGGATAAATGTTCTATAGACTAGAGACCACATATGCCAGCCCAGACTACTACACTCAGCAAAACTTCATTCATAGTAGATGGAGAAAGAAAGACATTCCACAATAAAACCAAATTTAAGTAGTATTCATCTACAAATCTAGCTCTACAGATAGCACAAGATGAAAACTTCAACCACATCCAAGAAAACTCAAGGAATAAATAATATCAGACCAGCAAATTGAAAGAGAGGGAAAGCCCACACCACCAAAATACAGTAAGATAAATCAATAAAGAGTACTCATTGACAAATCTCAACATCGATGGGTTCAATTCCCCAATAAAAAGATACAGACTAACAGATTAGATTTTAAAAAAAAGGATCCATCCTTCTGCTGCATCCATGAAACATACTGTGATAGTTTGAAAAAAATGGCCACCATAGGCTCACAGGGAGTGGCACTATTAGGGGGCGTGGTCTTCCCAATGGCTTTGTTGGAGGAATGTGTTACTGGAGGCAGACTTTGAGGTCTCAGATGCTCAAGTCAAGCCCAATGTGTCCTATTTCTTCCTGCTGCCTGCATATCCAGATCTCAGCTCTTTCTCCAGTACCATGTCTACCTGTACACCACTATGCTTCCCCCCATGATGACAATGGACCAAACCTCTAAAACTGTAACCCAGCCCCAATTAAATGTTTTCCTTTTTAAGAGTTACCATGGTCATGGTGTCTCTTCACAGCAATCAATACAAACCCTACCACCAAGGATAGACATCACCTCCGAGTAAAAGGTTGGGAAAAGATACTCCAAGCAAACAGACTAAAGAAACAAGCTGACGTAGCCATTTTCATACCTGAAAAAAAAAATAGATTTCAAACCAAAACTAATCTAAAGAGACAGGGAAGAAGTCTAAATACTCATCAAAGGAAAACTCCACCAAGAGGCTATTACAGTTCTATACAATATATACCAAATGCAAGGGCATCCATGTTCATAAAAGAAACACTGCTACAGCTAAAATCATGTGCCCCTCATCTGGTGATAGTGAATGACTTCAATACCCCACTCTTGCCAATAAACAGGTCATCCAAACAAAAACTAAACAGAGAAACAATGGAGCTCAATGATGCCATACATCAAATGGACCTGACAGATATTTTTAGATCATCCAGACACAAAAGAAGATACCTTCTTCTCAGCACCTCACGGAACTGTCTCCAGAACTGACCACACAGCCACAAAACAAGTCTCAACAGATATAAGGAAATTGAGATAACACCCAGCATTCTATGTGACCCCTACAGATTAAAGCTGAATATGAGAAATAACAGAAAGCTTACAAATTCGTGGAAACTCAACAACATACTATTGAATAAAAAAAATGGGTCAAATCAGATATTAATATGTGTTTTCTCAGAGAAGGTGTATGTTTAAAAGAAAAAATAACCTTCACAGAAGACAAGCAAAGAAGTCGCTATACCCACTATGTTACATACTTGGGGCCGTGGCTGCCCCATAGAGACAGGTGCTTTAAACATGCTAAGGGCTCTGTGTGGGGACATCTCAGTTCAGGTCCCTGAATCACATCAGGTGACCCCTACCCTCATCTGTCTCCACAATCCAGCCAAACACTCTGCTCTCATTCCTATCCACCCATCACGCATCTAATTCTGTTAAGTAATTCTACCTTACCTTCCGTTTTCACTGGAGAAGAGGTTTTTAAAACAACAATCTTGGCATTTGTTCAACGGTTAAGTTGATTAAATTGCACTTACTGAACTTGGCAATTATTGGACTGTGCCCAGGGTAGAGTCAAATATACTTATTGATTGGCAGATGGACAAGTCAGACAAACCCACAGAATTACTCAGGCAGAATTGGCCTACCACCTCGGCGTCAGGAGGCTGTACCTCTCTGACCAGAAAAACATAAGGCTAATTAATGGGGTTTGCCTGCTGCCCGGGACATTTTCTAACCTACAGAAAAGCCTGGGGGGGGGTTCCAGTTTGGGAATTAATTGGGATAAATATGGAAAATCCAGTAGACTCTAACTTTCATGTTCACTGAGAATATTGTAGAAAGGAATAGTGCTGTTGTTATTGCCGTAGTGTATGTGTGCGTGTGTGTGGATGTTTGCACTCATGTGTACAGATGCCTTTGGAGTTCAGAAGAGCACTAGATTCCCCAAGGCTGGTGTTAGAGGGGGTTGTGAACCCCCAAATGTGGGTGCTGGGAACCAAACTTAGGTCCTCTGCAAGGACAGTGGTACTCGAAACCACTGAGCCATCATCCCAGGCCACATTTCTTTATCTTAAAGAGCATGGTGGGTGACCAAAGCTTTTATCCTGGGCTATGATTATTTTCCAAGTTTTATAACTCGCACAGATCACTACCACTTTTCACATAAGTCTCCTGTCCCTGGCAGGCACATGCAGATAGAGGAGACAGTGTGGATACAGTCCTGTGCAAGGTCTAGTAAATAGACGTGGTTTAAGGTAGTCATGATACCATTGGAAGGTGCTCACCGTGCCTTCCGGGTCCACCAGCAGCAGGTGCTTGGCCTGGCCATTGTGCATGCCCGTGAGGACAAAGGAACCAGGGTTGGTAGTACTCTTTCTGACTAGGAAGTCTCCATCTTCCTGCAACAGTGCCTCTGCCTCCTTCCTGCTCATCTCTCCTTGGTACCAGGGTTCTGCATCAAGCTCCTCCAGCATCTTGGCATCTGGGGCTCTGGGTGAAACAGGGCTAATGCACTCCACAGACGCTGCTTTGCTCAACACGGGCCCCAGGGGCTGGTTCTTGAGAGCATCTTCAAAAGGCTCTGTCAACAACATACGACAGCAACAAATCAATCCCCGGAAGAGAGCAATAAAAATAGAGTGAGAGATGAGAATTAAAATGTAACTCTTGACGGAGGCTGGCAGCAGAGATGGATAGTCGGAACTAGAATTTAAATGCACCGCCCAAATGTTGGCATGACTCGCTGGTGAGTCTACTTTCCAGACAGCTGGGGGTTGTGCCTGGATCCAAGGATATGTGTTGAATTAGGAGCGGCGGGGCTGCGTCCCCGGCACCCGGGTGGGCCTATCAAGGGGCCTAGGCAGTTTCTTTATTAATAAAAAATCACTCCCACATCAGATATGAGCACATACTTTGTCTAGCGGGATAGGACTTCAGTGCTGTGCGTTGCAAGAAGGCAGGTACGACTTGTCATTTCGCTCCACCTCCCTTCTCTGAACCATTAGTCAGCCTCCTTAAGACATCTTGTCCATGCCCACCTCACCCCTCACCAGCTGCAGCACTTGGGAGAGCAGGCCCTGCACCTCACCTGGGCAGCACAGTAGAGCTGACCCTGTTGACAGGGGCACTGGTGAGCGGCCGAGAATGGGGGACCTGGTCCTGTCCCTCATCTTCTATAATTTGGAGTGGGCAAGGGAGCAATGCCACCTTCTCCACCCTTTGCCACCTGTGGCAGGTAGGAGAGCTTGCCCTGAGGCCATGAGAATGGGAGAGCTGTCCCTGCCCCTCACCAGCTGCAGCACTCGGGAGCGTGGTCCCTGCACATCACCTAGGCAGAAGAGCTGGCCGGGAAGGGGTAGGTGTGGGTGAGCCACTCCTGAGGTCATGAAAGCAGGAGAACTGCCCCTTGCTCCTTGCTCCTTGCTCCTTGCTCCATAGGGTGAACTAACTGGAGCAATGCTGGAGTTCACCCTGGTGGTAAGCACAAGAGATAATTGGCAGACTGGCCAACCCTGCAACCACCCAGGCTCAGAACCAGGGCTACAAGTTGGCCCACCCCAACATCCACCCATCTATGATCTGCTGGAGCATGTGAAGAGGCCACTCCTGCAGACCCAAAGCTGCAGAATCTCCACGACACAGTGTAACAACAGGGTATCCAAGAGGAGTCCCAGTGAGGGCCCAGCATCGATAGCATAGCAGAAACCAGAGGCCTAAAACCAGACCAATGGCTCTTGGCTGTAGACAATCATTGCAAGTAGAAACATATGCACTAAAGGAATTACTGTGTGACTCGCTGGGTTGCACTACACTTTCCACAATGAGATTTCCCTTTTCCTTTTTACTTTCTTCTCTCTCTCTCTCTCTCTCTCTCTCTCTCTCTCTCTCTCTCTCTCTCCTCTTCTCTTAAATCTATTTTATTTTGGGGGAAGGATACAAGGGCAGGGGATGGATATGGAAGAATGGGGAGATGACTGGGATAGGCATGTATGGTGTGTAAGCCACAAGGAATAAAAAGTAAGAAAAAAAGAAAGAATACAAGCTTGTCAATGCTGAAGGGAAAGACAAGCCACAGAACTCTGCCAACACACCACAGATTTCTTTCATAATCCTTGGCCTCTTATGGACTTGCTCCAGGACAGAAATTCTGCTTTGCCTTGACCTTCACTGCTATCTGAGTATTGATGTCGCACTTGGCTTACTCTGCTCCGGAACAGACTTCTCACTGTATAGCTTATCACTGAGTGCTCAGACCGCTGTGAGTGACAACACAGATCAGCGGCAAAGGAATTCCCTAAGAGCAGCCAATTAAACTTCAGTATGTGATCTTCCAGTATGATAGGCACTGAAAAGGGGTACAGAGTGCTGGGTACCTGCATGACACCGGGTGAGAACAACAAAACCTAGAGTATTCTCTCTGGAACACAGCTCCCCCAGGGGTCCCACATTGTTTCTGGGATACCCACTGGACCCCTACCGCTACTCAGAATGGTGCAAAATTAGCCAAATCTGGCAGAAGTTAGGAAAGGATGGGGAAAAGAGAGCATGCCAAAGTAAAATTAAACCATTTTGAGAATCACTAAATCTTTTACAGATGTGGGGAAGAAAAGTGGTTTAAAGACCACTGGATAAAAGCTAAAATGATAACTCTCTCTCTCTCTCTCTCTCTCTCTCTCTCTCTCTCTCTCTCTCTCTCTCTCTCTCTCTGTGTGTGTGTGTGTGTGTGTGTATACTTAGGAGCATTACAGAAGAGCAGATGTGTGATTTTTCCTAAGGGCAGTCCTCAATGGCTTATCGTTCTTCTACGAGGTTCCACTTTTTTTAATAACATGTTTTTAATATAATATTTTATTAACTCATTGAGGATCTCACACAATATATTTTGATCATATTCACCTGCATACTCTCCTGCCTCCTCCCAGATCCACTCCCCACCCCTCCCAACTTCCTGTGCTCTGTTGCATCTTTTAAAACAACCTGATGATTCCAGTGTGTGCTGACCATGAGCTCATGGGTCTGGGGCCATTCACTAGAACGTGGGTGATCTGCTAGGGACCACACCCATAAAAACCTGACAGTTCCTCCCCATAAGCCATCAACTGTCAGGAGCTGTTCAGTGCCCCCTCATGTTAAAATGTTTATTGGCTTGATCTTCTGCAGGTGAGTTCACGACTATAGAGGACTGCTGAGAATTCAAGGCCAGCCTTAGCGATGTAGGAGTACCAAGCTGACCAGGGCTATGGAGCAATGCCTTGTCTCAAAACAAAACAAACCCCAAACCAAAACATCAAATAAAGAAACCCTGAAAGCAGGGCTGGAGAATCACTGGTTGGTTTTGTAGTGTTACACTTCTTGGACTGTTTTCACTGTTTTTTTAATTAAAAGAATGGATTAGGAGATCCATAATTTACCTCCAAGCCCTGCCCCTCAACAGTGTTTGGTGGGAGTTCAGCATGTCTGTGAACCCACGGGGGCCCAGGAGAAGCCATCAGAAAAGCCCTGGAGTCTCTCCTCACCCTCACGAGACACTGTAGACAGAAGTGTGGGACTGGCGGGGCTACTGTTGACACAGATCAGAGTTACTTAGCCACTACGACTCTCCTTTTCCTTCTTTACAGAGTAGGGGTGGTAATAATAACTGAAGCTCCCTGTACACAGACCAAGACCGTTAAATCAGGTAGGAAGTGCCCAGCACGTGATAGTCAGGGCTGTGTTCTTCCCAGCCCTCTTCAGTCCATCAACTTCTCAAAGAATTAAAGCAGAGCGTTTAAGATATAGGGCTAGGGAGATTAATTCAGTTGATAAAGTATTTGCCTCCCAAGCATGAGGGCCTGAGTCTGATTCCCAGAGCCTATATCTTAGTCAGCACATGGGGCTGGAGAGATGACTCAACAATTGCTGCTCTTGTAGAGGACCCGGATTCAGTTATTAACACACATGATGGCTCACAACCTCTTTCAACTTCATTCCCACGGGATTTGACACCCTCTTCTGTTCTCCACAGCCACCAGGAATGGTACACGTATTGCAGGCAAAACCCGCTCAAGACACATAAAAATAAAAAATAAAGATAAATTAAAAAAACAAAACAAAACCAGAAGAGGCATGCAGGTATGTACTTGTAATCCTAGTCCTGAGGAGGTGTAGACAGGCAGATCCCTGGAGCTCACTGACCAGTGAGGCTAATCTAGTTAGCAAGTCCCAGGGAGTAAGAGACCTTGTCTCAAAAACAAGTGACTCCTGAGAATGACACTCGAGTTAATCCTATGGCCTACACACAGAGAGAAACAGAGAGAGGGAGAGGGAGGGAGAGAGGGAGAGGGAGAGAGAGGGAGAGGGAGAGAGAAGAGGGAGGGAGGGAGACCCACTCACACAGGCACACCCACCCATATGCATAAACTCCTCTCTCTCTCCTCTCCCTCCCCCTCTCTCTCCACGTATGTATGTATGTTTATCCTCATGAGATTCCAAAACCCTTTCCAAGTTCCTTAACAGTTTCTACTCATTGCATTTCAGTTCATGTATTTTCTCTATCAAGAGGAAGTCCCCAAGACGGTATCAGTTGATACTGCCCAGTGGGGTCCCACCTTTCCCTTCACCCTTCTCTACAGCTCACTGCTGAGCGTGCCCTACCCCCTGACAACATGTGTTTGGCTGTTTAAACCCCACCAGAGGAAGGCCATCTGTTTCCATGCCTCTGTGTCATTTCAGTAATTAGAAAAGTATTGGACACATGGTCAGCACTGGATACAATTTTGGCAGAAGTGGAGAGGAAGAGCGAGAGGGGAAGTGAGAGTAAATGGATGGGACTGGGAGGGAAGGGCAAGCAGAGAGGGAGAGAGGAGAGGAGAGGGAAACTGGTGGGAGGGAGGAAGGGAGGGAGGGAGGAAGGGAGGGAGGGAGGGAGAGGGGGCAGAGGGAAGACACTGTAAACAAGGTACATTGCCATTTCTCATCCCAATATTCTTGCTGATAGGCTGAGATCGCTGACTATGGCCAAACCATCTCTGTACCCTCTGAAATCATACAGCAGCTAGCACAGCATGGCCAATTAATATTCAAATGAGCACACATATTTTTTTTTACATTGTTGGTCTTCAAGAGGAAAACTAGTTTCCCCAAAAGAAAGTCACGTAACCCCAACACCAAAGTCCAGCAGAAAATCCAGTAGTAATATGGATATCAGATAAAAGAGAGAGCACTGGGCACTTATTCATGTCAAAAACGTCATAGAAAGAGCAACAGGCACCTACTCATATCAAAGAGGTCCTTCCGTGGGCTGCTCTCGGTGCTGCTGCTTGCTGCTGGCCAAACCTGTGGAGGGATTGGCTGGGTGTTGACATAGGTTGGTGTCTCTCCTACCAGAGCCATGTGCCCTTTCCCTTCTGGTGTGCTGTAGATGTCCAAGGAACCTGCACCAAAAAAGTGAGCCCTGTTACCGCTTACGATAGCAACACTCTTCCAGCCTCTGTGTCTGGAATACCTGGAATTACCTAGAGCCGTTCCTCAAGCCTGCTGGTGAGAACATTTATTTCTGGTTAACTCTTTTCTAAGCCTGTCAAAACCCAGTCCCACTTAAGACACTTCCCAGTTCTTCATGTCAAAAGAAAAAATCTACCAGTCAGGGTGAATACTGGTGGTTAAACGCCTTGCTCAACATGGCTGACCAGGTTGTTGGTGCTCCAGAACCCTAGGAGCTGAGCATTGAGTAACAACGTGACCTCCCAGTGAGCCAAAGGGGTGCTGAGGCTAGTCCTGGGGGTCTCCGCTGTTTGGTCAGAAGTAATATGGGAAGTGTTGCTCAAGAGCACCTGCTTGGGTCTCTCTTCCTGTGTGTGACCATCTCTGCTCGCTTGTATAACAGAAGCCTTGTTAATATTCCTCTAGGAAGGATGGTTACTGGCTAATAGATGAATAAATTCTTATTTGTTCTGGGGAAAACGTATCTACCAGTTTCAAATAAGATCTTGAAGCTGGGTGACTTGACTCATGCCTGTCATCCCAGCTCTCAGAAGGCTACAGCCAGAGGACCACGGCAAGTTCAAGGCCAGTCTGAGCTATAACTTTGCATCACCAAACACTAAAACAAACTTAAAAACTACAAGAAAAATCACATAAGAGCTTAAGACATACTGAGCTGTGGAGTCTTGGGTACCTGTCTAATTTTCATGCTCCTGATGTCTCCAGGGACTCTCGCTCCTACTCACAGGGACCAGAGACACCCACGGTCAGTGCATCAGCTGTGTAGAGCAGGTTCTGCCACTTACCCTGCCTGGTGGGTGCTCGCTGCCAGATTTCACCAAAGGCGTCTCCTAAGTGTCTTCCCTGGTAGTAAGTTTGCTCCCTCCCTGCAAACTGGAGACAGATGCAGATACTCAGAAAGAGGGAAGTGTCTTCTCATTCCTCATCTTTGTGGGCCACGATGTGGTAAGAGGGGCTTTGGGGGGTTGATTCACTCTCTCTGACACCACCTTTCCACGTCTGCCTCACAGTGGCCTCGTATTCGGCAGATAAACTTGCATGGTTGTTAAAAAAAATCCACAATCTCATTAATGCTACAACACTTTCTCCTTGTTTTCGTGATCCCAATAATCCCTCCCAAGGGCGGTCGCAGAGAGATCTTGGGCCAGCAGCTGTTCACTCTCCGAGGAGCACACTCTCCGAGGAGCACACTCCCGAGGAGCACACTCCCGAGGAGCACACTCCCGAGGAGCACACTCCCGAGGAGCAGGAAGCTGCAGAGCCACAGCTTCCATGTGGGTGCTGTCCTTGCGTTTTTATGGGTACCAATAATCTTATTATCTCCAGGGTTGGAAACATAGCTCAGCTCACCAAGCATATGACCCCGGATTTCATCCCTAAGCACCACAAAAAAGAGGGGGGGGGGAATCTCTTAAGCTTCCATAAAAGACAAAATGTAATAGTTTTAGAAAGCAGGGTTGCGGTGAAGGTGGTTTGAGCTGGAGGGTGCGATAGTTCACTCTAAGTGACAACTTAATGCAACCTAGAAGAGACAGATCTGGGAAGAGGGTCTCAATGAGGGACTGCCTACATTCGGTTGATCTGTGGGAATGTTAACGGGGGATTTGGCCTTTAAGTTGGAAAAACCGAGACCACTGTGCGCTGCACCACGGCCTAGGCAGGGAGACCTGAGCTGAACTGGAGTGGAGGAAGTGGGCCGAGCACAAGCGAGCACGGCAGCATTCACACACACCTCTTTGCTCTTGGTTGTGGTTAACTCACGCACACCTCCTTGCTCTTGGCTGTGGTTAACTCACGCACACCTCCTTGCTCTTGGTTGTGGTTAACTCACACACACCTCTTTGCTCTCGGCTGTGGTTAACTCACACACACCTCTTTGCTCTTGGCTGTGGTTAACTCACGCACACCTCCTTGCTCTTGGCTGTGGTTAACTCACGCACACCTCTTTGTTCTTGTTAGGCTGTGGTTAGGATGTGACTCGCTGCTTCAGGCTCCTGCCCCGACTGCCCCACAGTGATAGACTGTAACCTGGTGCCATAAGCGAGCATAAGCCCTTTGTCCCCTCAGCTGGTTAGAGTTAGGGTATTTTATCAGAGCAACAGAAATGAAACTGGACCAGAGTGGTGGATAAACAAAATAGAAAAAAAAAATGCCTAAAATTCAGACCTTAAGGGGACGGGTCCACTCTCTTCAGGGAGCCCACAGTATCACGGGCTTAAAAAAAAAAAAAAAACAAAAACCTGGAATCCTGCCATCCCCTCGTTAAGACCACAGCATGGTGGAACTGGGGCTCTGACTCAGGTCACTTTCATTCATGTCTTAGACATGGCACTGGGGTTCTGAGGCACTTGGTCAGTTCCCTGTGATGTCAAACCGAACCCCTCCCTTCCATGTTCTTTGTGATACCAGTGGAAGAAAGCCTGCGAGGGAGCGTGTCCAAAGCTAAGTGGAATATCAGCCAAAAATAACACTGAGCAGGATAAATGCAAATGGGGTCATCTTTAACCCAAGAAGAGAACCCCAAACTTACCTGGGCTGTGTCAGGAGTGTGGGGTCTGGCTTTCAATCGAGCATCAAGAAATCCCCCTGGAGGGGGCATCTTGCTGGGAACGCTGTTGTAGTATGGGTGATCGGGACTATCTCCCTCCTCTTCAGTCCACGGCTCATCTAGACTCTGCATCCTGTTAAAAGATTGTCAGTGACCTCACCCAGAGTTGAGCATACAGGCAGACCTAATGACTCTGACATCAGTGCCGCCTATAGAAACCAAACACTGAGTACCCATCTAAAAAACTAAGTGTTACTGCATGTTCCTGAGACTCCCATACCTGAGAGGTGAGAGATAGGGGCATTGCTGGAGCCTTCCAGATACCAGTCTAGCTGGAAAATAGTGATCTCCAGATTCAGTGAGAGACCCTGCTTCAAGGGAATAAAGTAGAGAATGATAGAAGATAACCTATGAAGTCTTCCTCAAGGCTATTGCATGTATACTTATGAGTACACATGTACACACACACACACACAATGAAGTTAATGTTAACTGTTGAGCTGACAGAACCTATGATCATCTGAGAGATGGTCCCTTGGAAATTTGCATGGGGCATCATTTTGATTGTGGTTTGATTAAGGCGACCTGCCCACTTGTGGGTAGTGCCATTCCCTTGGCAGAAGGACATTGGACTGCGTAAGATGAAAAAAGCAACCTGAGCACTGACATCTGTGAATTGTTCTCTTATTATCGTATGTGACAAGCTGCATCAACTTCCCTGCCATGGTGAACTGCACCTTGAGTTGAGAACCAGAATGAACCTTTCTTCCTTAAGTTGCTTTTCTTAGAGCATTTCAAGACAGCAACAGAAGAGAAACCAAGAAAAACACCTACACTTATCATACACAGATAGCACACACAACTAAAAAAATAAACATTTTCCAACAATGAAATAAACTGTAAGATCAGTACTGTTGCGGTATCTTAAATAGCCCTGTTTGTATCCCTGTGGTAGCCTTATAAGCTAGCAGTTATCAAACAATGATAACTATCACCCAAGTAGTCACGGATGGGACAGGACGGTTCTGAGCCTCCTTCAAAAGCTGGTTCCCAAAAAAATTATCATTATTTTCCTTGTCTGTGGTGGTATGAAAGAAAATGGTTCCCAAAGGAGTGGCACTATTAGGAGGTATGACCTTGTTGGAGGAAGCATGTCACTGTTGGGGGTGGGCTTTGAGGTCTCTTTTGCTCAAGCTTCCCTCAGTATGACTATCAGTTGACTTCCTGTTGCCTGAAAGATGTAGGACTCTCAGCTACCAGCTGGACATCTGCCTGCATGCAACCATGCTCCCCACCATGATGATAATGGACTGAACCTCTAAAATTGTGGGTGAGCCACCCCAATTAAATGTTTTAATTTGTAAGAGTTACTGTGGTCATGGTGCCTCTTCACAACAATAAAAAACCCAAGACACTGTCTGAGTGTTCCTTTGAGCACCCAGTTCCCCAAGCTGTCTTTTAAAAAATTTACTTTTAATTATCACATAGTAATTTTGCACATTTATTATGGGGTGCTGTGTGCTAACTTGATACATTTATACAACACACAGTGACCAAATTAGAGTAATTAGCATTCCCATCTCCTTAAGCACTTATCATCTGTTTGTGTTTGCCAAAGCCGTCTTTATTTAACCTGATGCAGAGCTTGCCTGGGGCATCTGTCAAAAATATTCAGAGGCAAATGTTTATCATGTGGCCCACATGAAGCTGGGAATAACATTTGGGTCAAAGAATTTTTATTAGTGGAAGTGTGTGAAAGAGAATATAGAGTTTATGAGTTAGAGGGGGGAAAGCCAACAAAGCAAATAGTCACAACCAATGGCAATCACAAGCCAAAAATGAGAAGCTGGGATGTTAATCAATGCCCACACATTTATCTAGAAGGCTACACACATTTGCAGGATTCAGCTTGTGCCCATGCCACAGGATGTAACATGGCTCTAAATTCTCACTTCTGACCTAAACACCTCACAAATAGAAGGTGAAAACTAAAAAACAATCAACTGATTCACCATATGTCGAAGGAGTGTACCAAAACACACATACAAACAGATATACATATACACACATACATAGAAGGTATATGCATACAGATACGTACATAGGACACACACATACATATATATGTGTGTACATATATACATGTGTATAAGTATACATGGATTCATATGCACATACACATATATACATGCACACACATGTAGCCCTTCATTAAAGATGGAGAGGCTAAATTGTTCAACATTCAAGGAAAACTCTGCAATTGTTAGTGAAGAAATGTAGCTAACCAAACAGAGACATCAGTGGACATAAATGACAAATGTAGATTATAGAATTTATAGAATTAATTAAGTAAAGTCACTAAAACCACCATAAACATTAATAATATACATTCTGGAAAGAGAAAATATATGAGTTTCAGTCTTGAAACTTTCTATTACTTACATTTTTAGTGTCAGCAAAAAAATTATAAGCTATAAAAATAAGAAAGGATAGCTCATATACAGGAAAAAGAAGTCAGTAGAAACTATCACAAAGAGATCTCAGACTTAAGGATAAATAAAAACAAATATATTCAATCAGCTAAGAGAAATGACTCTAAAACACTAAATATGAAAATTGTGTCTCACAAAGTGGGGTTTACCAGCACTCATAAAGAAATAAAAATAACAATAAATTATAGGATTGGAAAGTCTACCATTACTTCAAACAATTCGCTTAAGCAAATAACAGTTTTGGGAGGTGGAAGAAAAAAGGCAACATTTTAAAACAACTCAGCTGAGATGAACCAGTCTGAGGAACAGAGAAGAAAAGAGCACAGAGCCCGAGAGACCTGTAGAATACCAAAAATGCCAACATGTGTGTAGTAGAGTCCCTGACACAGAGCCCAAGAGATCTGTAGAATACCAAAAATGCCAACATATGTGTAGTAGAGTCCCTGACACAGAGCCCGAGAGACCTGTAGAATACCAAAAATGCCAACGTGTATGTAGTAGAGTCCCTAAAGGAGAACAGACTGAGGAGGGCAGGGAAAATACTGGCCTCGTTGTGGTACAAATCTTCCCAAATTAGCTAAAAGAAAATGTTGTTCTATACAACCAAGAGGCTAGCTAGGAAGCTCAGCTTAGATAAACTCAGAGAGTCTTAGGCCCCCTAATCTAACTATTTAAAGTCAAAGGGGGCATCTGAGGGCATCCAAGTGAGCTGCTAAAGAAAACAAGGGATCCTCACGGTATGTCCACATCCAATAAGCAAAGCTGCCCAAATGAGGCAGAAAGCGTATTCCAAGGGAAATAATGGCAGGAGAAATCCACTATAGAAAACCTTCTCCTTAGGAAATACTATGGCAAGTATATTAAGCTGAAGTTAAGTAGATAATCAGTAGAAATTTACAATCAGCGGAAACAGCAAAAAAAAAAAATGGCAAGTCTACACAAAACTATAAATTCAGTGTTGCCTAAAATGTCCTTATTCTTCCCTTCTCATTTAAAAATACATGAAGCAGTGTGACCGTACTGGTGAATAAAGGTGTAGCTTGCACAACAATAACAGCAGGATGGAGGACTGGAGAGAGGTCACAGTGGTTAAGAGCACACAGGGCTCTTGCAGAGGACCCAAATTCTGCTCCCAGCCCACACAGAGTGGCTCACAACTGCTTCTAATTTCAGCTTCAGAGGATCCGAATCCCTCTTCTGGCTTCCATACTGCACTCATTTGTGCATTCGAGGGCACACATTCACACGTTTGCTCATACACACACATACATGAATACAAACACACATAATTCAAAACAAATAATTTTTTTTGAAAGAATAGTATAATGGAGTGTGGAAGAATGGAGCTATACAGTAGCTAATCTTTGGTATATTATTAAGTTCTTTAATCTGAATGTATAGTTATAAATTATATATTAACTATAATCCTCTGATCACTACTTTAAAAGTAGTGCAAGAGAAAGAAGTTAAATTACACACTTGAAAAATGTTTATTTACCTTACACAAAGGAGACAGCAACTGGCATGTAGGAGGATAAAATGGCATAAAGAAAAATGAGCTCAATAGCGGGAGGAAATCCTAACATCAGCAATTGCATTAAATATAAATGTATTAAATTCTCTTCTTAAAAGACAGGGGTTGACAGACAAATTAGAAAATGACCCAATAGTAAGTTTTCTATCAGCAATATGCTTTAGAAAAACACAAAGGGAAAAACAGAAAGTTCAGCAATAATATGGAGGAGCACTAATTGCCACTTTATTATTATATAGGATATATATATATATATATCCTTCTGCTGGGCAGAAGATTAGGAAATAGAAGTTTGCACACAAAAACTAACCAGACCTAAGAGACATCAATAGCACATTCTACCCAAAAACAACAACATAAAACTTCTTCTTCCATGCAGAGGGAACATCCCCCAGCAGAAAGCATATGTCAAGTTTATGTAATAATAAACTTAAAAATTTTTAAAGAATTAAAATATAAAAAGTATTTTTGATAATAGTGGAATCAATGTAGAAATCAAAGTAGACTCCTACAGGATTAATATGATGTTAAAATTAACACATTCCTAAATAAACAGGTCAAAAAGATTCCAAGGGAAATTAGGAATTTAAAGTATGTCTAAAGAATGGAGTCCTGCATATAAAAAATATACAAAATCTGTTGTATTTTATACATTGATGATGATTAAAAACAAAAATAAAATAATAAATCATTGGAGCATCAAAATGGGAAAATTTTTAAGGGGAAAAACTATGTAATCAGGGTTAGACATACACTGAAAATTATAAAACACATTGAAAAACACAATCCACAAAATAGGAAAATATTTGCTAATAATATTTCTTTAAGGTAGCATGTATCTACAATCCCTAAAACTCAACAATTTAAAAGAAAAGCAACCCAATATTTAAAAAATAAAAAATCGAGCAGACGTTTCCCCCAAGAAGACAGAGAAATAGTCAGCAGCACATGAAAGATGTCTGATAGCAAAATCAGGAAAAAAAAATGCAAGTCAAAGCCATCATCAAAGAATTTTTTGCCCACTGGGGTAGCCATAACCAAAGATATGCACAGCAACAAATATGCTGATACTGATTATCAACTTGACAGGATTAGAATCACCAAGGAAACAAGACTCTGGCACACAACTATGGGGGATGATGTAGATTAGGCTAGCCTCTGGCCACACCTGTGAGGGATTATCTTGATTTGGTTAACTGAGATAGAAAACCCATCCTAATAACATGTGGCACCATTCCCTGGGCTTGGGTCTCTGGACTGCACAACAGAGGAAGAATCCAGATGAGCACCAGCATCCCATGGTCTCTGCTTCCCAGCTGTGGATACAATGTGACTACCTACCTCACATTCCTGCAGCCTTGGCTTTCTTGCCATGAGGGACTGTATTTCCAAACTGTGAGCCAAAATAGACCCCTCTCACCACACGTTGATTCTTTCAGAGTATCTGTGCTGGCTATTTTTGGTTGTTAGCTCGACTACATCTGGAATTAACTAAAATCCTGGGCACATATGTGAGGGATTATTTCCTCAATGAAATAATGAAATAAATTTGAAGATATACTTCTAATCCATATTTTTGAGGTGGGAAGATCCACCTTTAATCTTGGCCACACCTTCTGATGGAAGAAGGAAGCTTGCTCTCTCTCTCTCTCTGCCTGCTTGAGCTCTCTCTTACTAGCAAACACACTTCTTCACTGGCATTAGAGCCTACTTTGTTGGGATTCTGGCATATACTGAAGACTATCTGGGACATCCAGCCTTTTAGACTGAATAGCTATTTGATTCTTGGACCTTCTGTTGGTAGAAAGTCATTATTGGACTAGCAGAACCACAGCTGGTAAGCCATGCTAATAGATCCCATATCTATTGTGTGTGTGTGTGTGTGTGTGTGTGTGTGTTCTGTTCCTAACTAATACCTTATCTTCTCACAGGAAAAAAAAATCTAAAAGGCAGCTAAAACAGTTTCCTAAATGGTTAACAAACCATAGGATCATTAACTCAATAATTCTACTCTAAGGCATTATCACAAGAAACATGTCGTCAAAGTTTGACTACAGCTTCACAGTAGCTTTGCTCAGAAGAGCGAAAGGAAGGAGACAATTCAAATGCTCATGAAGGGTTTATTTCAGTGAACAAGTTCACTGTTCATCATTGAGGGCAGCAAAAGAGGGAACTTAAGCAGAAGCATAGGTGGAATGCTGCTTACTGGCTCATTCATGCTCCATGCTTAGCTAGATTGCTTATAGAGCCCAGAACAACCTGCCCAAGGAATGGTGCTGCCCAGAGTGGACTGGGCCCCACTGTATCAGCTGACAACCCCCTGCAGGCAGATCCACAGGCAACCTGATCTAGGGATTCCCTCAGTTGAGATTCCTTTTCCCAGGTGGCTTTAGGCTATGACAGTAGGCAATTAAAGCTAACCAGGGCAGTGTGTTTTCAAAACACAAATGATCCATACCCTTTTGTGACTCAGTCTTCCCACACCATTATAAATTCTGAGACTGTGACCTCTGATGCCTGCGCTCTGTGTGGCTTCTGGAAACCAACATCTCCGGGCACATTAAAAATAAAGAACTATGCTGACTCATTCTCAGGTCAGAGGTGCCAGGGCTGTGGCCACTTCCTTCACACCTCCTCCAGCCACATCCTGCCGAATTCATCAGCCTGGACAAAGTGGGTCCTTATGGGAACAATGGATGCCTTAAAGGGAATTTGCCAAGGGATGACGAGGGAACAGAGCAGATGCCAGCTCCACAATGCCACAGAAGAAGGCTTTGTGGGTTTGAAGTGAGTAAGAAGTAAACCTAAGGGAACAATGCTTGTTTGCAGTGAGCACACCATTAGAAAGATTATCCTGTGTACACATGTATGTGTGGGCACACGTACATAGGTGTCATACATTTGTTTATGTGTAGGCCAGAGGTCAGCCTCAGGGCTATTTACATTGCTTTTAAGAAAGGGTCTCTTACTATCCTGGAACTCACCAAGAAGACAGGCTGACTGGCCGGTGAACCCCAGAGATCCTCCTGTTTCCACCTTCCCAACCTCTGAACCTGGCTGGTTTTGTTTTTAAACATAGGCTCTGGAGGTAAAACTCAGGTTCTATGCCCACAAGGCAAGTACATTACAGGCTGAGCCACCTCCCAGCCCATAACAGCTTTTCAGTAGGCAAGTTCGTCAAGGACAGAATGTACTCAAGTTCAAGGACAGAAGACCACTGAACGCCTCAGGTGCCCGTAGCACTTTTCTGCTTTCTACGTCACGGAATATTCTTGCATCCTAAGGAAACTCAATAGCAGACTCTCCATTTTGGTTTTTGGTTTTTTTTTTTTTTTAATTATCACCTAAGTAGCCCACATTTGGTGTTAACAATCCTTCTCCATTTAATAATAACGAAACTCTCCAGTGATTCTTATCCCTATTTCCCAGATGAAGCCACGATGACTCAGACAGTTTAAGGATCTTGCTCAGAGCCATATGGCAGATGAACAAGCCCCTAAGTTATTAGGCCATGGAGGCCGTTAAACAAAAATGATGCCGGAAGCAGGTGGCTTTGGCTAACTGTGACAACAGAAAGATGAGGAACAGACCTGTGTGGACACAGACCCAGGGAGGGGACCTATGGAAGAATCAAAGGGCTGAAGAAGACACAATGTGACCTAAAAAGATTACAATGAAGCTGCTTTTGGTAACCTTGTCTACTGTCACTGTAACTTCCAGAAAATGTTCCCTGCCCATTCAGAACCATATGTGAGCTCCCATCTGCTGGCTTTCCGCACCTCCGCCGAGCACCAGCCAGGTGTCTGTGAGTTCCGGGAAACCCCAGCGATGATCTGGGTCTGCCTGGAGCGCAGTGCTGGCAGCTGGTTTTAAAGGAAAGTTTACAGACCCTGCCTAAATCACTGAGAAAAGCAGGCGCAGCTACTCACCGGTCCTGCAGAGCAGGAATCTTGGAAGGACACTGCAAATACTGTTTGAACCGGAGCTCAAAGGCTTGTCCGATGGAGCCAATGACATCTTGGGCTAGCCCATCACAGCATTCCAGAATGTGGCAAGCTTGGAGAGAAGGAGACACACCCTCATTAGAGACCATACCAGAGCTCTCTGGACCCCTTGACAAAGAGCCCCATGTGGGGTGCAAAGGGAAAATGTCACATACCTTCCCTCCTGGCATGTCTCTACCAACCCACAGTCTCATCTCTGCGGGCATCCTACAGTGGTTATGGACATGTGAAGTTCTTAGAGGGCTTGTCTGCAAAGGTGAAGGTCTTATTTCTAATACTCAAAACACACATTTCATTTTGTGTGTGTGTGTGTGTGTGTGTGTGTGTGTTGCCTTCATGTGTGTCCATACATCTCACACACGCAGTACCTGAAGAGGGTAGAAGATTCCCCTGGACTGGAGTTACAGGTGGTTGTAAGATACCCTGTAGGTGCTGAAAACCCAACCTGGGTCCTCTACAAGAGCAGCAAGTACTCTTAACTGCTGAGTCACCTCTCCAGCCCATTGGTGGTTCTGATACTCTCACAATCTATAGACCAATGGTTCTGACCTCCATAGGGAAACAGTGTTTAGAAAGAAAACTCAGCTCAAACCGGATCTTTCACAGCCTTTCCTTAAGGCCTCGGGAACCTTAGCAATAGATGTAAACTGGTGCTCCCTAGATGGATAAACCTTAGCAGTAGATGCAAACTGGTGCTCCCTAGACGGATTAGCCTTAGCAGTAGATGCAAACTGGTGATCCCTAGACAGATAAACCTTAGCAGGAGATGCAAACTAGTGCTCCCTAGATGGATAAACCTTAACAATAGATGCAAACTGGTGCTCCCTAGAAGGATAAACCTTAGCAGGAGATAGAAACTGGAACTCCATGGATGTTGATCTGTTCAATGAACTTAAGGGAAAGTTGTTCTCGACTTAGTAAGAGTGAAGCGTTGATGACCAAATCTAGCTGGGAACACTAATAGCACAGTTTAGGGAATGAGGAGGTGGCTCAGTCGATAACGCATTCGTCACGCAAACCTGAGGACCTGAGTTCAGTCCCTCCAATCCACATAAAAAGCCAGGCACGGTAGCATAGGCCTGGAATCCAGTACTCAGGAGACAGAATCAGGAGGATCCCTGGCGTTTGTCGGCCAGCTATATAGTCTCCTCAACAAGGACCATGTTACAGTGAGAGAGTAACTCTTTAAAATCCAGTGGAGAGAGTGTCTTTTGTCTTCCCATTGATGTGATAAAACACCCTAACAAAAGCAACTTAAAGGAGACAGTTCTTTGGCTCACAGTTCCAGGGTTCAGTCCACCACAGTGGGGGGGGGGGGGTCAAGTGGCAGAAGCTTGAAGTGTGGTCTGAAGCGAGATACTCCAACTTGGTTATTGCACGTAGTGTGTGCCTCATACTACACCTCATAAATAAGTGTAGTTGTGTGTCAATTCAACAAAGACTAGGAAGACCACTTGGCTGGCTAAGTGCTTGCCCTGAGAGCATGAGGACCTGAGTTCAGATCCCCAGGACCCTGTGTGCAGGGATGCATATCTGTAAATCCAGTGCTGGGGAGGAGAGACAGGGATGGGCCTGGTGCTTGGTGGCTAGCTCAAATAAATGAGCTCGTGGTTCGGGGGGACGGGGGGGGCTGTCTCAAAAATAAGATGGAGAGCAGACGATAGAGCCATACAAACTACATATGTGTGCATGTTGCATGTGGGTGCATGTCGCATGTCTGTATGTGTATGTGGAGGCCAAAGGACAACCTCAGGTGCCATTCCTCCGTGGACACTCACTTTGTGTTATGAGAGAGGGTTTCTCATTGGCCTGAAAGTTACCAACCAGGCTAGGCTGCTGGCCAGCAAACCCCAGGATCCTCCTGCCTCCACCATTCAATGCTAGGGTTACAGGTGTTGCCACCGCACCTGGCTTTTCAGGAGGACTCTGGGAAATGATCTCAGCCTCTTAAGCCTGCACCGCAAGCACTCTACCAACTAAACTGTTTCCCCAGGCTCCAAAGAGCTATTTAACCACATTGTTGCCTGGATCCCATTCTCTCAGAGCTGAGTGTTAAGATGTTTTCATAAGGCTCCTAAGTAACTCTCAAGTGTAGCTCATTTTGAGGACCATTGACCTGGACCTACTAAAGAAGTCTGAAAAACAAGATTGCCTAAATCACTTGCCATTAATTTGAAACAAACCTAAATGGAGACATGAACCCCAGCTGCTCCTGCTTCTAACCCAGATAGAGCTTGAGGGGGGCAGTGCCTCCCCTCCCCCATAACCCTCCCTGATTTCAGGGGAAGCTAGGATACTTAAAGGGGCTGGTTTGTGCTCTGGGTTCAATTATGCCCCTGTTTTGTTTTTTTTTTTGTTTTTGTTTTTTGGTTTTTTTTTTTTTTTTTAGTTATGCCAAAAATCCAGGACCTCAGAAGGTGTCCTTATTTGGAAAATGGCAGTTTCAGATGTAACTGGTTAAAATGAGGTCACGGCAGGATAGGAGGGGCCCTGAGCCACCATGGACTGTCATCTCTAAAAGCATCCATGAGCAGTCACAGACACGGGGAGTACACCGCATTAGGATGGGTTCCAGTGACACACCTGCAAGCCAAGAGACATTGGAGATTATCAGAGAGAAGCCAGGAGGAGGCAGAATTTCTCCTCCAGGACCCAGAGGGAGCCCGTCTGGCCCTGCTGACACCATGAACTGGGCATCCAGCCTCCAAAACCGTGAGGCAACATGTCCTTCTTGTTTTAAAAAACTTGATCTGTGTTCGTTGCCTTAGACACTAAGCTGAGTCTCTAAGCCTGCACCAAGAGCTTTTGCTCACATCTCTGGGCGGCAGTCCTGATAAAACCCTGTTCACCTGGGGCCAACCCAGGCTTTATACAGTTTCCCGAGAAGACAGGAGAGCGATAGTGGATGTGCGGAGAGATGAAGGCTGCTACTCAGCTCACTTTCTCTTTTCCTTTCCTTCAGAACTCCAGCCCATGGAGGGTGCTACCCTCAGTTAGGGTGGGCCTTCCCACTTCAATTAATCCAACCCAGGAACTCCCTTACAGCTTGTACAGAGTTTATCTGCTAGCTGGTTCTAGGTGTTGTTAAGCTGACAATTAGTATTTAACATCACATATGGTATCCGCTCAAGAAAGACAGCAATGAGGAAGGGTCTGCAGAAGCCCCTGCAGCTAAGGCAGAGCGCCCCAGTCTCAATTAATCTGCCCTTGTTGGTTGTCCTGAATGTATATCCAAAGTACAGGTTTGGGAAGAGGCTGGCAAAATTGAGTGTTGGGTATCATGTGCATTGAGAGGTTTGGGTTGTTGCTCTTGTTTGTTTGCTTTTTACAAGAGAAAAAAATATGTCTGAGTATGCAAGCAAAGTTAAAAAACCAGCTGCTGGCACATAGCACAAAGGCCAGGAGGAAGACTGGAACCAGTCTGCAGCGGAGGGAAGTGCCACTCTGCGTGGTGACAAATCCCACTGGTGTTTTGCCAGTGACTTTTCATGTGTAACTGTGGCAGGGGTCATCGGGAGCCGCCTAGTGTCCAAGGGTAGTCACTCTGAGCCCACCTTCCTGAGTGTATTATTATCCACTCTGGTTTTGTACATGACACCCCCTCCTCAGCCTCTGTCTGTGTTCTCAGACGCTCCAAAGGGACACGAGAAAACAGCACACCCTGAGCTTAGGTGCTGGGCCCAGAGCAGGAGACAGGACAGTGTGCACACACGGGGTGATGCTGGTCAGGAGGATGAGCAGGTATAGCGTTTCCCAGGCATACCTGAGGCTGTTACCAGAGCACGGGGTGAGACAGATGATGTGTGAGTGGGGTACACCGAACCGCGGCCATCCTGACCCAGGTGCGAGTCTGGCACTCAGCATCCAGCAGGTTCTCTCTCAGCCAGGTGACAAGCTACCCTTGCAGGCCTCAATTAGCCTTAATCACGTCACGTGACATGTGCTCGTTTGCTAAAGGAGCTGAGATAATGAGGAACATCTGGTTCACAGCATCAAGCCTGGCTTCACACGAGTAAGTGATTAAATGGGTCGAGCACTGCTTACCTCTGCGATTAACAGGGTCCTTAGCGACATAAGCAACATAGTCTGTTGTGTCCTGTGGAAGGAAAAAGGGGACATTTGTACTACCCATCACAGCAAGAGGGAAGACCAGAGGGATGCAGGGCCCAGCGTGGTGAGCATCCATCACACAGCCAAGAATCGGCTTGGAAGGAAAGTTCATGAACCAGTGCTTTCCCAGTGTGGGAGGCCCTGGGCCTCCTCAGTCCTGGGAGAAGAAGAAAAGAAGGGAAGGAGGGAGGAAGGCAGAGAGGAAGGACCAGATACTTTGTACAAAATGGGCATGGTTTAAGGCATATCCTCAAACTTGGATGGGGCTGGAAATACCTGGAGATCTGAGTGCAGACTGAGCAGAACCTGAGGAATCATGAGTGACTGGTGCAGTTGCCACTAACCAGTTCCCCTGGACCACACTCGGAGCAGCCGGGATGACAAGCACCCCATGGTGGTTCTTCTGGGAGGCTTTCAAAGCGGGTTCTTGTGTACCGTTGGTTCATCTGACTTAGCATGTTTGGACTTGAGACCTGACCATGAAGACCTTTTGAGAGCTCGTAGACACACTGGTGTGAGCCAAAGTCAAGAAGCAGGACTGTTAGGAAATGTGTGTGTGAACTGTCCTCAAATCTGAATTCCTGTGAAAATCCTGAAAGGCTTAAGACGAATAGTTGGGCTGTACCCCAGTTTTCTATCTGGACCCCCAAGCCGGATTGCTGACAAATTCCAGCTGCCATGGGGTTAGAGACCATACTTTGAGAACTGATTGCTGGGGAAAATACTAGGGTAGGAGTTTAAGGACTGGAAACTCACAATAGGCAAGATTTGGAATTAGCCTAGTAAACTACACAGTGGAGTTTTATGCATCTTATAATTCCAGATTACAGTTATTGCCGGGAGTCAAGGCAAGCTTTACATCCATGGTCAAGAGGAGAGAGAATAAATGCATGGCTCCTTTCTTGTTTTCTTCTGCTCATCTTGACTTCTCTCTTACACTGTTCAGGAAGCTTGCCTAAGGAATGTGCCACCCACAGTGGTCTGCCTCTTCCTACCTCACGGGCTAATCTGTCAATAGAGACTCTCTACCCAAGTGATTCTGGGTGGTGGCGAGCTGAGAGTTAAGACGAACACAAATCCACAAGCACCATGCCTCAGAGCCGGCGGCTTGAAAGGTCAGCCCATCTTTGCAGTTATTTTCCTGAGCTTATGATCCAAAGGCCTTCAAGTTCATCCACTGCTCCTGTCTGTGTGGCAGTGGTCTGTTCCGCCCCTGAGGAAGTGTCCTCTCCTTAACAGAGATCCAGCAAATACTGCCGGGAGAGGGGAGGGGAGGGGTGTGGGCGTGGGGAGGGGTGAGTGGGCATGGGGAGGGGTGAATGGGCATGGTGCCCTTCAAGACTTCCGGAGAACAGAGGCATGGGGACTTTTCCAGAGGTGGGGACAAAAGAACCCTTGTCTCTGAGGCTCATCTGAGCAGAGTCCATTTCCTGGTCTTTAATATTTCACAGCCCGGCGACAGAAAGGACAGGAAGACTATAAAATGCCCTCTGTTCACTTCCGCGGAGGTGAATCTTCTGAGAATTTGAAGCTGTTGGCAAAAATATTACAATTCTTCACTTTCCTCCCAGACTCATGGGATGTGGGAGTCGCAACTGTCCTTCAGAAACGTCAGGAGCATCTTAGCCAACAAACGGGAGCCCTGGGGCTTTGGAGCTCTGGGGCTTTAGAGCCCCCGAGCTTTGGAGCCCCGGAGCTTTGGAGCCCTGGGTGCAGTTACAGGGTCAAGACTGAGATTCACAGACAGCTTTCCCATACTCTAGGAACCGGGGTATTCAAGGAGCAGAGCGGATGGTGCCTTTGCCCCAGTTGACCCACATTGCTGTCACTTTAGTGCCTAAGGATGCGTGCTGAAGGTTGTGCTTGAATAGACGAAATGAGCAGAACTGAATCACCTGGGAACCATAGTAGCCGATCCCCAAAAGACACTAGCCGCCCTGGCAGCCAGCTCAAAGATGCAAGGAAGGCGGGGTGGGGGAAGGGAGTGGGAGGTGCTTTTAGTTTGACAAACTGTCTTTGTGGTACATTAATATAAACCTGCATGTGATCGGCTTTCCAGCTTTCCTTTGTAATTTCCAAATTTTTATCCTAGTGGCCTAAATGAACGTAGGACAGATGGCATCACTGGAAGGTGGTGGGACTAGGAAGTACAGTTAGAGGGAGCAGGTCACTGGGGGCAGGCCTTCCAAGGGTCTGCCTTGCCTCCATCCCATTCTGTTTCTGCCCCCTGACTGTCATGAAGTGAACAGCTCTTGCTCACATGGCCGCTCCAGGATAGCACCCCTGCCTCACCTCACACACAAAACAGACCCAGACAGTGGCAGGCTGGCACTTGGAAGCCAAAATGATTCTTTCCTCTGTTTAAATTGATTTTCTCACATATGTCTGACAGTGACAGGAAAAAAGAAATCTGTCAAATATAGATATGATCTTGAGAAATAGGTGAACACACAGGAAGATTTTCACCTTCTAAATCTACGTCTCACTGAGAGAGTTTATGTTTCAATGAGGTGTAAAACTCAACACTAGGAAGACTAGAAAGGCATAGCCAGGGAAGGACAGAGTAAAAGGAAAAGCATTGTGGGAGGCTTTGGAAACAATATTTTATGTGTGAAAAGGGCCCAAACCACTGGCACCCAAAATAAATAAATAAAAGGGAATCTTAAGTTACAGAATTTGCTTTTTGTCATGTGAATGAACTTAGGTTAAAAAATATCCCTTCTTGTATTAGCCCACTTTTAATTTTTTGGCCTTTAACCACTTAACCACAATAAAAATTATCGTGATAACGTTTGGAAGGAGCCGGGCCCATTTCCTCTCCTCCCTCAGTGTCTTGCTCCCTGGCATGGTTGTCTGCCTGATTTTGAGGTGGTTTTGGAGATGTGGCAGGGAACAACCAAGGAAAGCAAGCCTGGGAAGATGGGTCAGACATGGGAGCTATGACGGAGGCCATGCTTCCTGAACTCCTGATAATCCATGGCTGAAAGTGAATGGTGGGACCTGGTCACAGGTTACCCTTCCCCCACCAAATAGCAACTCCAATGACAGTGGAGAGGGCTGTGGTGCAAGCAATACCTTGCCAGAAGAGTGCTTGCTGACCCTTGGCCCCCTGCTCAGTCTCTAAGACCAGGAAATGAAAGGGGAGGAGAAGAAGAGAGGGAGGGAGGGGAAGGAGGGCTTGGGGAGGGAAGACTTTTGCAACCAAGAGGGATAAACAGTTGGGATCACAGCTTCCGGGGCTGTAACTACTTTACTTGCAAAATTTCATCGATGACTATTTTATCTTACAAAACACTATTTCCTTCAGAGAATTTCCCCCATAGGGGATAAAACCTGCTTTTCTGGGCACCCTACAGTTGTTTCTGAGCACATGCACTGCATGGAACAGAATTCTACCCAGACTGAAGTTGTCCTGATCCTAAAACAGCTGGACTGCTATCAGAATAGTAAATTGGGGTTTCAGTAAAATCAGCATAAAACACTTTTGTGTCGTGTCTTCAAGGGGCACATCTTTAAAGCAAGGGCTTTGTCTCAGAAATTTCCAGCAAGAACGAGGGAAACAGCCGAGGCCACTCACCGGGTCTCCCCCCGAGGCGAAGGAGATGGACTGCATGTGATGGTTCGCTATGATCTGCCAGGGCGGAGACAAGAAACAGAGGAGCTGTTAGCACTGTGCCACATCCTGCCAAGCCCGCATGCTAGCAGGTGAGCAACCAGACGCCCTCAAAACTGCCCCCAGGAAGATGACAACTGCCACACGCTGAGGCGGTAAGTCACCTGCCCTTACTGTGCACAGCCTGATAGCGGCCGTCTCTTTGGTTGGCTACTCGAATGCCCCATTATGCCTCCCAGCAGCTGAGGAGTGGGAACTGGGGACAACCCATTTTACAGGCACAGGGCATGAGCCCAGAGGGGCACGAGGCTTGTTTAAAGAAAGAAGGGAAGTAAGCCCAGATCTGTGAAATCAAGGCTCCACCTGAGGCCAGCGTCTCAACAACTGGACTTCACCAGCAAGGACCACATGGACCTGGGGAGATGGCTCAGCTGGCAAAGAGCTTACATTACAAGCAGGGAGACCTGAGTCCAGTGCCCCAAACCCATGTGATAAAGCACTGGGTGCGGGGGGCTACAGTCCCAGCACTGGAGAAGGGACAGGTATATCTAGGCTAGCTGGACCAGCAGCCTAGCGGAATAAGCAGGCTTCTGACCAATGAGAGAGCCTGGATCAATCAGCAGACACAGCCTGATGAATGATAGCTAAGGTTGACCTATGACCTCCACACGTCTGCACACATGTGTGCATATACACCTATGCACATGTGTACATCTCCACACAAACATAACCACACACATGTACACACACACACACACACACACACAAGAGAAAAATACATTGTACCACAACATTACAACTTGTATTTTCCGCTTCCACAAACACCAGAGCCAGGACGGGGGAGTGTGGCCTGTTTCACTCATCCCATAAACATTAGAAGGCCAGCATCCAAGAATGACAGCCCTCTCTTAATCCCCTAGCTTAAATACCAGGGGCCCTTCCACATTTGTCTTAAAAATGGAAGTTTTCCATCAGGTTTATAAGCTGTGGCATCCGTGGAATTCAGTAGACACAGAGTGAATTAGAAGCTGCCCTAAATTCTAAAAGCTACGCAAGTCCTCACTGCTATTTTTATCTTTTTAAAGACAATGGAACGACATTGGAGGAAAGTTCCTGTGTGGAAAGGAGCTCCCAGCTCCCTCCTAACGCAGCCAGGTTCATTACTGAGCTGTGCCCTCCAGCCTTGTCCTGGGCAGGCGTGGTTCACAGAACAGCAGATAGAGCATATGCGCCTGAAAACTCGAAATAAAATATCATTATAGGATAAATTGTTAAATATTTTAAAATGCTGGCTTTGGTTGTTGACATTTGCTAAACCTCATTCTAGAGAAACCCGAGGGTTTCAGAGAACACTAGACAGTGAGACTGCTGGGTAGCCTATGCCCGAGCCCCAGGCGACTAAGAATAGTTACCCTAGTATCCTTTAATCCCAGCACTCGGGAGGCAGAGGTAGAGGCAGGGAGATCTCTGTGAGTTGGGGCCAGCCTGGTCTACAAGAGCTAGTTCCAGGACTGTTCCAAGGCTACAGAGAAATCCTGTCTCAAAAAAACAAAAAACAAAAACAAAAACAAACAAAAAAAGAGTATCAAATTCTTGTATCTGGAGGTTTGATTGTATAAAAATGTTTGATTTTAAAAATTGCACTTTGAGTTGCTGACTTGAGTTTTTAATTTTAATAAAAATTGTTAAATGAATTTTGGCTTAAGACCAGGACAGAATTTCCAACCATTTCTGGGATGACCTTAAGCATACTACATATTTATACAAAATGGCACTCTGAACATTGACAGTTTCAAAACTAAAGTATCTATCAACTCTGAAAACCATTGGCAGTGTCCTGTGTTCTTCAGTATTGCTAAATGCTCAGCCAGGATTTAACTCTTTATGTAAAAGTAAATAAGCACTTTCCTCTGATTGGCATGCAAATTTTCTTCCATTGTTAATAAATTGTAAAATCATATGTTTAAAAAAAAAGGAGAGAATGAGCAAGGAGGATGGAGAGTTACACCCTGGGGACCCTAGAAATAGATGTCCATGTGCACAGAGGACAGATTTCAGTGTGCACTGCTGTCTAGAGCCTAGTGTGCCAGCCTCTATGAGCAACTAGGGCTCAGCTTAGGACAGCCTGGGCAAGGCAAGGCTTATTAGACATCCTAGATCCACAGTCTCAAGGACTGCCTAGTCCTTAGAAAATAATAGAAAAGGACAAGGAAGTCTCGGTCCCTGGAAGACGAAAGGATAGAATAAGATATAGTCAGTTGTCTCAACAAAGCCCTGACTTATTTCTCATTTACACATTAAATCTAATTTGTCTCTACATCTTAGGGATTGATGACAGACAGACAGACAGACAGACAGACAGACAGATAGACATGATAGATAATAGATAGGCTGGACCAAAACATAGTCAGCACATAGAAATGTGGTCATCCTGCCTGGAATCTGCTTTTCTAAATGTGTCCGTGCTGCCTTGGTCACGCCACCGTCATTGTCTACACTGTAGATATACACAGCTCATCAGCCTATAAGAGGCTCCAATATAAGAAGCCATAAGGGAGAAAGTTCCTGTCTATTAAACCACAGCACGTTGTGCCTTCCAAGCAGGATAAGATTAAAATGTGACCCACAAAACCAATAAAACATGGCTATAAAACAAGGGCAGACACCAAGACATTTGCACAGGCATCACCATTTCTTTATATTACAAACAGACCAACGAAACAGATGGCATTTAAAGCAGAATTCCAGAGAACCGTTCATCCATCTGTGGCTGGACTGTCAACATGGCCAAAGTCCAAGGTCCAGCCAAGCAGGTTCTGCATGGGCTCGGTAAGCTCCGAGGAGGTAGCCCCAGGGATGCCCACCCTCGGGCCCAGGGAGGCCTGGGCAACCTCACACCTGTTTGGAGTCGGGAGTGCGCAGATTCAGGCTGGCGGTGGAGATGGTCAGGGAGATGCTCATCCCTGCGAACTGGAGGTTGCTCTTCCCCAGAATGTTGGACAGCATTTTATTTGGAGGCTGTGAAATCCAAGGGGGGGGGGGGATAGATTAGCTTTAGATCCAGACTCTGACTGAAAGGGTCGAGGCAGAGATACCAGTATATCTCACTGACCGCTCCTCCCCCACTGAGGTGCCAGAAGACAGACAAAGGTAAAATGGGGGAGCTGGGAAGATAAGAGTTCATGCCAATGTACACACTCAGTAATATGAGGTATGAAATCATAAGTGCCTAATATGTCAGTTCTGGGGAGAATTGCTGGTCTTCCTGGCTGCCTTGACCATATGCTGGTGTCTCCTGGCTCGTAGATGCAAACTTGCAGAGACCTCACAGCTTTGCCGACATGCAAACCTTGTCCCGGCACACCAGTGCTCAGACTGTTGCTTAGAGGAGTGAAAGGTGAATGGCACCAAGGCTCAGGAGCAACCGCAGAGCATCCCCAGGCTCTCTCCCGAAGGGAATCTCTGTTAAGGGCTCACATGGATGGTCCAATTAGAATCTGACTGCCTAATGCCTGGGCAGGGTGAGAGAGAGAGGCTGCTGTGGCCAGTGTCTCCCTCACCTGTCAACAAAGTCCTTACAGAGATATGGAAGAGCTTCAGTGTCCAGCCAGGCACTGTCAGACCCCTGGGCACACACCAAACCCCTCTCCTGCTCACCCTTTCCGTTTGGTTACAACATCCTCTGCTCACTCTGCCAAACAGGCCCTGAGCAGAGGCACAGTCCTTTAATCCACTAGGAGAGAAAATGCAGCAGCTAAGGCTGTCTAAAGTGGAGCCAGGAAACAGGGAAGGTCACATCCCTCTGCTGAAGCTCAGACCACAGGATGTTCCTGTGGCTCAGATAAGAAGCCAAATCCAGACCTGCCGGCCTTGCACACCAACCTCTCAGTGGGGAGTAGCCTAGTTAATGGACCAATCAGAATAGGTTTACAGTTTAGGGTGTCTGCCTAGCCAATGAACTGTCTTCAAAGACAGCATTTAATGGAAATTCTCTATTTTAAAAGAATAAATCTCTGCTGAACTTACCTCCAGGGGTTGCCCTGGTTTGGCATGCCCAAACTGCACACTTTGTTCCCCAGATAGATGCTGTTTCCTTTAGGATCCCTGCCATGACATTTTTCCTTTTTCTTTTTATTTAATACTTCAAAAGGGCCCTTTAGAGAACCCATCTCCCCCGTGTGAGAGAGTCAGGTCAAGTGCATCTGGGCACAGCCTAGAAAGTTCTCATTACTTCCATCCCTTCCCACCAAGAGAAACATAAGGGGATCACAGACCTGTTAGGACCAGCTGTTCTGAGAGACAATAGTCCTCCTTGCTGTTCCCAAGGGACACCTGGCCTCCTGTATTCAAGATCTGGGAGCTTTACTTGGTTCCCAGGACCCCCAGTGGACTGGCCATCACATAACCTGAGCTCAGATCCAGTTGCCCTATAGGTTTACAAATGTCTCCAGTTCTGAAGATGGTGGCAAAACCATCTGGAACCTGAAAACTCAGCCTGGAGCAGATACAGGGCCCTCTGTGGTATACTTTCCCACAAATCCCTTCTAGGTAGATAAAAGTCATGATTGTAGGTGCTGGATCATTTATACTATGTGTGTGCGCACGCGCACACATGCACTGATGTGTGCACACATGTAGAGATGGGAGGTCATCAGGAGTCTTCCCTAAAACTCTCTTCCTTATATTTGAAGACAGAGTCTCACAAAGAACCTGGAACATAGCAATTCCGCAACCCTGGCTAGCCAGTTAGGCGCCAGGATCGGCCTGTCTGTTTCTCTAGCACTGGGGTTACAGGCATGTGCTGCCATGCCAGGCTTTTTACATGGATGCTGGAGGTACAGACTCAGGTCTTTATGTTTATGCAACAAGCACTTTGCCAGCTGAGCTATCTCCCTAGCCCCCAGATATTTTCCCTCCTAATTCAACCATATACAAGATTCCAGAAGCGTAGTTGAACACCCAGCCTCTGAAACAGGTTGACCATGGCCCCAGCTCCTATTCACCTTGTGACTTCTCAGCCCAAAGCCTCAATTGTCATCAATAACATCGGGATTTCCAGTGGCATGGCTGAGCCGACTCAGGAAAGCCATTTGTCATGCCTTTAGCAATGTTCTGACCCCTAAGCCCAGCTATTACTGAAAGTTAACTTATACGAACTCACAACTACATAGATGGCATCTATAGGTGGTGAAATACGTCTTTAGTCCTGGCTGTTTTACTACCTGGTCCCATGCTATGTGAACCTGCGCCGTCAGGCCCCATCTGCTGCACCTGGAGAAAATGCGACACAGTGACAAACTGCTGTGTGTCTTCCTCGCTCTTTCCAGGAACCTTGTGTTGAAAGCTGGAACCACATGGACGTATTTACACCACAGTAACCGGCATCTTATAAAATGCAAGGTCCTGCTTCCCCCTCCCAACCCCAGAATCCAGTTCTTAAGCATTAGCTAGCATGTACTACTGGGGTAGCTGCTACATGAGCTGTTAGGGGCAGATGAATTCGTGTTATGTAATGGGCTTAAAGGGTTGCTTGGTCAGGTGTTGATTGTTATCTCTGTCTCCAGGGTTTATCTACAGCATTTGCTTGAGAGAGACAGGGCAGGGATGCTTTCGCCTTAGCTAGGTGCTTTCCCTTAAGAAAGACAAGATCCAGGTCCTGTAAGAAGACAGGGGACAATTATATGGGTGAAGACCTGGAGTGTGGCCCTGAAAGGACATGAAGGAGGAGGCAGACACACGGTGAGAGCCACAGTACCTTTCTCTTCTTGAAGGCTCCTTTGGCACCTGGCACAGCTTCGCAGACACGACTGATGGCTTCCCTGAGGGCAGGGAGAGATTCATTTTATTACATGCCAGTCAGAGTTATGCAACTCAGATTGTCTGCACTCAAAGGTCCAGAGGAAATAACCGCCTGCTTATTTTAGCATAGAAAATTGGCCCTCCAAGTACCTCTCCTCCAACAAGCAGAATTAAGCCAAGCACCGGCAGGCTATCTTAAAACTTTTTGCCATATCCTGCCTCTTTCTTAGTGTGGTGGCACCATGATCAATGCCACATTTCCTTTTTCCTTTTACAATTAACTAAGATTTCATATTCAAAATCAGCACCGGATATGCACTCTCTCCAGTGTGATTTTCATTAGGTCAATCACTGTGCCTTTAGAAATGTCCTAACATGGTCAGAGCCCCAGGATCAAGCCTACCCAGCCATCGCAGCTCACGGAGATCCTTCTGAAGCAGATTCGGGGTCACTGGAGGAAGCATGATGCTCATTCTTTGACTCCTAGCTTCTGCAGTTTTAAACATAGCCAGCAAGCTGGGGCTATAGCTCACTGGTGGAGTGCTTGGCCAACCCTTCTAAAGCCCCAGCCCCGCATACAAGCAGGCTTGGTAGCACATACCAATAATCCTAGCACTCTGGAGGTAGGGAGAGGAAGGCCAGAGGTTCAAGGTCATCTTCACCTAACTGGTGAGTGTGAGACCAGCCTGGGCTACAAGAGACTATGTCTCAAAACATAAAACTAAATAGATAGTATATCACTCAGCTTAGGGTTTTCTGGCTTTTTGGTAGTATGAAGGTGATTCATATTCAGTAGAAATCATACTTTGAATTTTTGATTCTAATTTTTTTAAAGTTTCAAGTTCTAAAATATCTTATTTTTTGGTAAATATGCATTCACATCATGGTATATAACAAATATATATCCCATAACATGCACGTATCAAGTCCAGCCTTCCTTGATCCATCTTCATGTATCCTACACACACACACCCCCCACATCTTCCCTGGCCTCTGGTAATCACTATTCTATACTCAAGCCCACTGTTTCCAGCTTCTGCATATGAGAAAGATAGTACATGGCACTTGTGTTTCTGAGTCAGGCTCACTTTGTTTACCATAATTCCCTCTGATTCCATCCACAGGACCTTCTCTGAGTATTGGACATCTGCAGTAACCCTCAGCTCCAAGCCAGCACTGTGATCAGCAGCAGAAACCACCGACACTAAAGTCCTCTGCTGCTAAACTAGCATGTTCCAGCACATTCTATAAGTTCAGGATTTTCCACAATAATTTTGTTTGCAGTAGGTTTAAACGTCAAGGAACTGCTGTATTTAAAAACCCAGAGAACTGAAGAGGAGTTAAGAAACTCCATGACACGAGGGTGAGGCTGTGCGCAGGTCGGATGCACAAGACACTGTCTGTTGAGCAGTTCTACATGCCAGGCTTTGTCCTGAGTCAAGGGATGGGGGACACTCATAGTGTCCATCCAGTTTGGCAGGAGTCCCATGCACGGGTCTTAACCTATGGAGGCTGGAGGATTTGAAATAAAGAAGAGTCCAGACAAGGAGGCTATGTAGGTTCCGATGCAGGTATGGCAAGCTACGAAGGCAACTCCAATGACCTTGAAGGCACCCACAGCTCAACACTGCAACTCACTTTCAATGAAAACCACTGGGGGAGGGCTGAAGGTGACCTCAAGTTAGGAATGCCTAAAGGAGCTGGGAAAACTTCAACTCCCACATAAAGAGGGAGAAAATATTGCAGGAACTTGGGAAAAAAAATAAACAAACAGGGCCAAGAGATAGGCTGGGTGAGCATGAAGACAATGGCTCCTGAGAGACAGACAGACAGACAGCTTCCCCAGTGGACTACTCCTCACAGTTAATGAAAAATTAATTGTTGAAAAATAATCACAATCACAATGCAACTGCATTGTGTTAGATGTCCTTGTCAAATTAGGGCAGCGACCACGGAGGCGAGCTTCGTGTTTGCCATTCAATGCGTTGTGGAGAGAGGGGAGGAAACTGGGTTTTTGACGGTTCAGGCGCCAGGAAGCCTGCACAGAATGAGTCATCCTGACCTGGAAAACTGAAGCCAGAGCAGATGTTTGGGATGACAACGCTGCTCCGATTTATTGTATAATAGCCATCTAACAGCGCTGCTACCAAAGCGATCAAATACGTGCCATCTAAAATCTGCTAAAAGCAAAGCCCTCGTTTGCTTTCAGAACATGAATGTGCTGTCCTTTCGAACTAATGAGTTAATCTGTGTGTGTGTGTGTGTCTACATGTATATGAATGCACACACTCCTGTGTACATGCAGAGGCCTGAGAATGGTGCTAGGGGTCCTGTTCTGTAACTCTTCCCCTAATTCCTTTGATGCAAAGTCTCTCACTGAACCTACAATGAGGCTGGCAGCCAGTAAGACCCAGAAATCCTCCTTCCTCCACACTTCCCCCTACAGCAAAGGTGTTACAGGCATGTGCAAACAAGCCTGGTTTTGTTTAAGATTTGAACTCAGGTCCTCATGTCTGCACAGCAAACGCTTTATCTGCTGAGTCATTTCCCCAGCACCTATGCTGTCTTTTATAGAAGTCTCAATATCTGCTTTACCTGTTTAATATTTTAAGGCATGTTTTATTTTTAACTATGTGTATATAGGTGATGGGAATGTGTGCCTATGTGAGTGCAGTGCCCTCAACAGCCAGAAGAGGGCAATTGGATCCTCAAGAGTTGGAGTTCGAGGTGGTTGTGAGCTACCCAGTGTGAGTTTTGGGAACCAAACTTGTGTCCTCTGCAAGAGAAGGATGTGCTCTTACCTGCTGAGCCATCTCCCCACTACCGTTCCTAGTCAATTTTGCATGATTGTGTGAATGCCTATGGAGGCCTGAAGTTAGCCTTTGGGTGTTGTTACTCAAGACACTGCCTACCTTGTTTTCTGGGACAGGGTCTCTCACTGGCCTGAAATGTACTAATTCTGAAGATTGACTGGTTAATGAACCCCAGACACGCTCCTGTCTTCCTCCCCAACATGGAGACTACAAACATGGGCTACCATGCCTAATTGTTTTTATTTATTTAGTTTCAATTTTATGTGAGCATATGTTTATATGAGTGTGTGTATGTGTAACACATGTGTGTAGGCACCCACAGAGGCCAGAAAAAGCTGTCAAATCACCCAGAACTTCTGCATTATATTTGTTAAGTCAAGAGATGGCCTTAGCCCAACAAAGTAGCTAAATCTTTGATGGTCTCAACAAGCTAAAGAGAACACCTTACCTTGGTCATTCTTTTAACAACCTCAATGATTCCTAGATTTTTGTGCCCACCAACATAGAACAACATAGGAAGTCAAGAGTTTTACAAACAGTTCTCCAAAAGGACTCCCACTATCAGAAATCTAACCTAGTCAGCTATGAGTCATTTCAACTGGTTTCTACTCCAGGGAGAGGCGGGAGGAGCTCAGTTTTCAGAAGACGGGGAACAGCCCGACACATTACAGACAGAAAGTCCTCTCAGGGAGACCCATGATGTTCCCAGAGCACAGTCACGAGCACAGTCACAATATAACTCTTCCTGAGCTCACACACTCCAAGTGAGCCCCAAGGATACCCCTGTGAGCTCTCAGAATTTTCTGAGATCTTCAAATCAACATGCTTTTCAGAAAAAAATATGCTGTCATAGAATGGCCACAGATCTGTTTCTAATGTTCATGTGATCACATGTGACAAGTCCTTACTTCAACCAGAGATGGTGTCTATTTCTGCTTGAAACAGAAATGACACACCATTAAAAACAGCAATATTTAGATGTCTGCAATTAGTTGCTTTAACTCTAAGGTCTAATTTTAAATGTTGCTATTCTCAATTTCCTTCCTGGATGTTTTAGTGAGGAGTACTGTCTCAATTTGCTCATTTAGCAATAACTTAGTTTGGTATAATTTCATTTAATTCCTTTTTGGAACCCAGGTACCAATTTTGCTATTTTTTTTAATAATAGAGATTGCTTCTTAGCATTCCACTCAGTACAACTCCATTTCGAGAAGCTAAATCCTGACCTCAGCGCTCCACTAATATGAAAATGGAACATTTGGCAAACACAGCAGTCATCTGAAAGCGACTAGGGACAGCCCTGCCAAAATGCTAACCTTGGGTTTACGATGGCGCTGTACTCCTCCACCCAGGCCTGCACCCTCATCCATAGGGCAGATATCTCTCACAACTGAAGCTTCTTCTTGCCAGTGCAGAACTTTAGGACTAGACTTTGCACAAACGTTCACAGCAGGTGTGCATATTTGCACCCACATGAATAACAGGCACGTGTGCATGCTTGCACAGACACTTTTCAGAGTGAAACAATAAAAAAAAACAGTAGAACCATACGATAATTTATTCCCTCTTCAAATTATACTTAAGTAGGGGAAAGAGCAACAAAAATGAACTATATAGAGCAGTAAGTTTAAGTTCACACACACAAAGTGATAAATAGCTACTCAGGGGGAAACAGTTTCTAGTGCATGCCTCAAATGTAAATTAATTCTTGGTGTATCACAAATAGAAGCTGTTGTGATTTTAAATAACAAAAGTATTCAAGAAATTCAGGAAGAATTATTTTTAATGATCATTGAATAGAAGGTTGATATGAGAGGGATATATCATAAAGGAAATACTAATGCAAACAATAGCATCAAAACAAAAATGTAGGCAAGTCAAGAGACAATCATCTCAAAATAAGTCAGAAAGAAAACCATCATAAGTCCAGCGGACAAAGCTAATGCTACAGACAAAGGCATTTCAGTCAAGGAATGACAAATGGCTCCTGAAAACATGGGAAGCTTCTCAACCTGATCTCTTTGGTTGTGCACGTGCCGGGTCATCAAGTTCCACAAGTAGGGCAGGGAGGTGAGTGTCATAGCTGTGAATGATGTGAGTGGTCACAGCAGGAACCTAAACTCAGAGAGCCATGGATGCATCTACATAAAAAACCCCCCGGGGTGAGAAAGAAGAGAGGCCATAAACAGGTTTGTGGATATCCCATCAAAAGGAGGAGAAAGGTAAGGCTATCCTGACCGAGCAGAGGATAGGAGATACTTGACAGTCATGGGACAGGCAATGGTACTCACTGATGGGTGTGCAGCCAGAATCCTACCAAAAATTTCCCAAGAATATTTTCAGTTAATTCTGAATGGAACAGCACAGGGGCATAAAATAAGGAAGAGCTATGTGGAGACAGGACAGGGATGGAGGGCACAGGAGTATTCCAGAGGAAAAAAGAGGCTGTTAAGGCTCAGAGGCAGAAGGCAGGATCACTGGAGTCCAGGCTGAAAGTGTGGGCCCTGGGTAGTGGACATGGTGTGTGTGAAACATGAAGTTCCGTGGCACTGTGGGTCGAAGGCAGCCTAGAAAGAAGAGAGCTGGCTGGGGAGGCTCTGTCCAGGGTGCTGACACTATGTCCCGTGGCTCTCAATGCTGGTCCTTATCAGACAACGAAACCTCCTTTTGCCGGCACCTGACTAAACACAGAACCTTCTCCTCTGTGTTCACTCTTCTATACAATGTGGCAGCTAGATTATGTTGGAGACCTCCAGTAGCCAGGGTAATTGAGACACCCCCACTGTCTCTCCCTTCCTGCCCTTGTCCACAGCAAGTCTACCAATGGGTTTCCTTTTTTTCATTTCTGTATAGAAACACAAAAATAGACAGAGGTCAGAGATGAGGGCAGAGCCAGACCATATAACACAGAATATACCTAGCCCTAGTTTTATTTCTGTTGCTGTGCTAAAATTCCCTTACAAAAGCAGCTTAGGGGAGAAAAGGTGAAATTTAATCCACAACCCCAGGCTACACTCCATCATAACAGGGAAGTTAAGAAAAGCAGGAAGTTAAGACAGCTCATCCCATTACATCCACAGAAAAGACAGAAAAATGAAAGCATGTGTGTTTACTCTTCAGCTCACGCTTCCCACTCTTACACAGTGGAGGACCCAAGCCCAGGGAATGGTGCCACCCACAGTGGGCTGGGTCTTCTCATGCCAAGTAACATAATCAATTAATATAATCAAGATAACCGTTTAGAGACACGCCCACAGGCCAATTTATCTAGACAATCCCACACTGAGAACGTCTTCCCAGGGGATCTAGATTGTGTCAAGTTGGCAATTAAACCAACCATCGCATATGGAAGGGGGGATGAATTATAAACTGTAAAGTTCTGGCATCTGATTCTGGCTCCAGACATCACATATACTCATAACAATTATAATTTGTTGGATTACAGAATATAATCCCAAAAGATATAATCTCAAAAAAAATCATAGGAAGATAGTAGTAGATCCACGTGCAGGCATAAGTTACTGAAAGCGACTACATTGATAATTTACTATTATTTTCCTATATTAGTTATGTGACTCAAAGCTGCAACCTAACACTTGAGAGGACACAACTTGAGGAGAGAAGGGCTTATTCTGACTCATAGGTTGAAGAGGGCATACAGTCCATCAACGTAGGAAAGGCATGGTGGTCAGAGTCTGAGGCTGGTGGGCCACAGTGTATCCACAGTCAGGAAACAGAGAGTAGATAGGACGTGGAAACTGGTTATAAAACCTCAAGGTAGCCCAGAGTGACCTACTTCCTCCCACCAGGCTCCATCCCCCTAGGACAACAGAACCAACTGGATGCCACAAAGTGCTCAAAAGCAGAAGCCTGGGGGTAGGGAGATTATATATTAGTTATATATAAAGAGCAATTACATAAAATAGCACTGGAGATGCTGTTGAGAGGTTTTGGGGTGACGCTGAAGCTCCTGCTTTACTCCTGGCTCCACTGTCAACATACACTTTTCCAGGAACAGGGGCACACGTCGGTACACCAGTGGTTCCAGACATCCTCATCTAAGCTATACAAACCCTCAGATAGTCAAGGACAGAACCAGAATTAGAACTCGGTTTTCTCAGGCTGGAGAAATAACTTGACAGATATATGAGAGTACCGCTCTCATAGAGGATCTGAGTTTAGTTTCAAGGACCTGTATCAAGGTGACTCACAACCACCTGTAACTCCAGCTTCAGGGAACCCAATGCCTCTGACCTCCACAGGCACACCTGCGCATGTGTACATACCCCCCCTCACACACACACACACACACACACACTAATTAAAAATAAAATCAATCTTTAAAACAAAACAAAAATCCCACCTTCAATAAATATCATGACCAAGGCAACTTGGGGAGGAAAGGGTTTATTTTAGCTAACAGGTTATAACTCATGGAAGCCAAGAAAGGAACTCAAGGTGGGAAACTGAGGCAGAAACCATGGAGGAATGCTGCTGACTGGCTTGCTCCCAGGCTCCCATTAAACTGTGTCTTTTATGTACCTGAATCCCACTTTCCTAGGGATGGCACTGCCCACAGTGTGATGGGTCCTCCCACATCAATTAGCAGTCAAGAAGATACCACCACAGAGACGCCCACGGGACAGTCTGCAGGAGGCAATTCTGTAACTGAGTTCCCTTTCTGCAGATATGTCAAGTTGACAATCAAGGTTAGCCATCCCATTCAATAACAATAACAACAAAATCTTTAATATAATAAAATGAGGCATGGTACAGTCAGCAGAGAGTTATGCATCCAGCAACGTTAGAAATGATAAGTGGGGAAGGGGGCCAGAGAAGGTGGAAATCAAGGAGATGCAGGGAGCATGCCACAACCAAGGTGTGGGACGAAAAGCACCGAGACAATTCTGAGGGCACCTGGAGTCCACAGATTCCAGGTGTGGACCCAGCAAGGCCTTCTGGAGGCAGCCAGCATCTGCAAGACAAGAGATAAAGTGCTGATTTATTCCTTGTTCATACACAGCTTCAGCCAGTCTCCCAACCATCTAAGCCTGGTTAGATGGCATTTATTTGGGCAACACTTTTAACAATGTGGAAAGTTCTAGAGCCCTTTCACTACAGTACCTGCCTATCATACCAGGGTGTGCCTCCAGCGAGGGGTGTGGCAAAGGTCTGTGTGTGCCCCCTCCTCACCTCTGACCTCTCTGTCCATATTTGTGCATCTGCATGTGAACATGTAAGGGTAGTGCCACTAGCTGAGCTGGGGAAGAAAGGGACAAGGGGAACCTTAAAGGAACCCTAAATGGGGGGAAACGGGCATCCCCATAGTGAGACGCTGCCCTGACACTTCATCCTGGCTGACCTCTACCCAGTCCTGCAAGGTGGAGGAAGCTGGGAGCAGGGACCCTCCTGGTTCACCCATCCACATGGTGGCCAAGGAGATTACCCCATGACCAGCCTGTCCTGGACTGAGAAGCAAACAATCCATCCTACCCCAGGTCCACAGCAAATGGGAGGGGAAGCCTGGGCCAGCACCCAATGCCCACTTGGGATCTTGTCCAGGTGAAAAGGTATCTTTCATTCTTTTATGTTGCATTTATTTAATTCTGTGAAGCTGTGCTACTTTGCCTGTCTAAAACACCTGATTGGTCCAATAAAGAGCTGAACAGCCAGTAACTAGGCAGGAGAAAGGATAGGCAGAGAGAATAAATAGGAGAAATCTGCAAAAAGGATCAAGGAGCAAGAAAAGGAGAAGAGGATGACATCAGGGGCCAGCCACCCAGCTACAAGGCAAGCCACAGAGTAAGAAGTAAGAAAAGGTGTATAGAAAAGAGAAAGATAAAAAGGCAAAAGGTAAATGGGATAATTTAAGGAAAGCTGGCTAGAAATAAGGCAAGCTAAGGCTGGGCATTCATAAGAAAGAAAAGCCTCAGTGTATTTATTTAGGAACTGGGTGTCAGGGCCCCCCAGAGAGTAAAGAGACAAAAGAGTAAAATGCAACTACAACTTTCCTACTGCGTGGTGGTGTGAATGAGAATGGCCTCCAGGGGCTCATGTTTGATATTCAGTGCCAGTTGGTGAAACTGGGAAGGATAAGGAAGCAGTGTATTCTCTCTGCCTCCTGCTCGTAGATCAACAGGTGTGCTCTCAGCTGTCCCTGTCACCATGCCTTTGAGCTACCATTGTGGATGCTAACCCTCTGAAACTGTGAGCCCAATGAACCGCTTTCTTCTATCAGCTGCTCTGGTCATGGGGTTTCGTCACAGTGACTGGAAAGTGGCTAAGTTATACAGGAAGTAGAAAAGTGAGTTCCCAGGACTGGAGAAATGGGTCAGTTGGTTCCATCCCCAGAATCCATGTCAAAAGCTGGGCATGCTGATATGTGCCTCTAACCCAGTGCTGGAAAGATAGAGGATCCATGGGGCCTGCTGGCAAGCCAACCAAATAAGCCAATCGCAGGTCCCAGTGAGGAACCTGCCTCAAATAAAACAAAGTGGGCAGCCGCTCTGAGGACTAACGTCTGAGGTCAACCACAGCCTCTTGCCCTCAGCAGCTGTGTGTGATTCTGCCCCAGTTGCGAACACAGAGGTCAGAGGTTACCTGAGAAAATTCTATCTATGCAGTCACAATGATGATGTCACCCATGCTGGGGCATGACTATTAAGTGAGGTAACTGTGGGGTCACCCAGGCCCTGGGTATAACCTCTCACCCACACTTCTTCAAGTAACCCCAGTAACCTCACAAATTCTCTCAGCAGCCTTTGGTGGGGTTGTCACTAGGTCTGTCATGGATGTCCTGTCTGGAATGAGTAGACCTGTGTTCTCCTTATGGCTGTAGAAGCCCAGACACATACATCAGGACTCCTATCATGTCCCGAGAAAGGGCTCTGCTTAGTGGCCAAACACAAAAGGCCCAGACTTTTCCATAGACACTAAACAAACAGGCTTGGGAAGGGGTGACAGTGGCCAAGGGCCATGCAACTCAAAACTGTGACACGTGAAGGTGGTTATTTAATATTATACTTTGAAAAAGCAGGGCACGCAACTTCAAACAAAACGTGATTGCAAATGTGTGGAAAATCCCCACCCACCTTTACGTATTTGAACTCTTCCCCAAATCTCAAGTGAATACACGTGTGTTTCCTTTAAAAGGAGTTTTAAAGATTAATTTTAATTATGTTGTGTGTGTGTCTTGTGAGTGTACCCACAGGACTGGGTGCAAGTGCCTTCTAACACCAGAAACTGTCAGGTCCCTTGAAACTGAGATTACATGCATTTGTGAGCTGCAGGGAGTGGGTGCTGGGAAGCAAACTCAGGTCTTCCTGATAAAGCAGGACGCATTCCTAACCTCTGAGCAATCTCTCCGGCTCCTCTTTGTGCCCCTTTTATCAGAAAATGAATTCATTGCTAAGGCATGGGTGTTTGCCTAAGGCAACCTTCTGAGGCTCTGGGGTACACAGAACAAACTCTGATTTTGGTTGTCATAATGTGGGTGAGGGGTTGTGGCATCTCATGGGTGGAGGGTATGTGTTGGGGGGGGTCTCATAAACATTCCAAAATTCAGAGGACAGACAACCTCAAAAGATTAAATGTTTTTTTTCTTCCTGATGACCTAAGGCAGTGGGCGGGTTGAACCAGCACCTGCGATGCCCTGGGTTTGCTGTGTGGCTGTGAGAACATGCGCTGTGCAGTGGGAGAGTGAGGCAGACCCGGTCATAATCATTCGGTTTCCAGCCTTCCCAGATCACGAGGTTGCAGACCGCTGGGCAGCCCAGGGCCTCTTCCCTGTCACTGGCTGACCCACAGATCACTGAGGGGTTGAAAGAGAATGTGGGTAGGAACAGAATGGTCCTCTGACAATGCACAAGGCCAGGCATAAACGTCTATTCTTTATTTTGGGGACAAGCCCTCATGTATAACAGGCTGGCCTCAAATTCTTATGTAACTAAGGATGACCCTGAACTTCTAATCATCCTGCTGAGGATGGAACCCCAGGCCTTGTGCATTCTTGGCATGGGCTCTATTCACTCAACCACAACTTCAGCCCATAAACAACCACCCTCAATTAGTTCCCACACTGTGGAAGGTCAGGTTTGCCCGGATGACCTGGGAACAGAGGCCAAGCGGCAACCTGTGAGGCCTACTGAACACATGTGCACATACACATCACACATATACACACAAACCAGGCCTGGGGAGACCAAAATTGCTTGACTGAAGCAGAAAAAAGCAAGGCAGTGAATGGCCAGAGCCCCCAAAATAACATGGAGAAGCTGGGATGGTAACAGCGATATGTGGTGGCGATTGGCACCACCTCTACAGTGAGCGCTTCTCAGGGCAGGTGTTAGAGCTCACGAGTTGGCCATACAGGGGCCTCACAGTGGGATGGACGCTCCACTGTAAGGAGGCCTCTCTAGGCAGCAGCAGACCGCCTGGAGACCTGCGGCTCATGATGGATCTCAGTGGCGGAGTTCTTGCCTAGTGTGTACAAGGCCACAAATGAGTGGATGAATGTTTTTAAAAGAACAAAAGCCACCCATGATCTTCCCAGAATGGAGGGCAGGCTCAGGCTCACTGTTAACCAACCAACACTGTCTCTCTCTCTCTCTCTGATCATCGCTTCAGTATTAAGGTGCATTTAACTAAATTATAGGACATTGCAAATTGGCTAATTGAATAAAATTATCAGTGTGCAAGGATTTTCCTTCAGGAAAAAAAAGTCATTAATGTCTTGCATTTCTTCAAAGTTGGAAGGGGATGGTAAAAACTTGAGAGAAAGGGCATTCTACCAAAATACCAAAAGCTGAGTTTCCTAAAGGCATTCACTTCTATACTGCCAAGCACGAGTGATCTTCTACGTTCATTTGTAAGATGACTCTGAGGCAGAATAGAAGGGGAAATAATTTAATGTAAAATCTGGTCTCTTAACCAATTGTTTTCTCTTGATTTTGAGTCATTACCATAAAAGCTTAAAAACTTAAGATTTTGCTGTGTGCTTTCACTGTGGGTCCTTGTGATGGTGAGGATCGACTGGGCACATTTGTGAGGGACCGTTATCTTTCTGAGGCATCTTGAATCCCATTTGAAGTTTCTTGTAGAAGCTTTGTGTCTGTGCCTGTGAGGTGTTCTGTTTGGTTGCTTTCTCTGATGGTCTCTGTCTGGTTTTAGTTTCAAGATAACATTGGACTCATAAAACGAATTGGAAAGTGTCCCTTCTGTTTGCTGGAACAGATTGTGGAAGCTGGTGCTACCTCTCCCTTAAGAGTTTGGAGCCATCTGGCCTTAGAGTTTTCTCTATGGGGAGGTCTTTAGTGATGAGTTTCATTCAATAGATACAGCCTATATAGGTCACCTACTCTTCATTCAGGAAGCTTGGATAGTTGTACCTTCCAGGAAATCGTCCATTTGTTCTAAGTTATCGCATCTGCTGGCATAGCTGCCCCATTCCTATTATGCCCTCAGTATGCACAGTTCAGTAGAGAAGGCATCCAGCCTTCATTCTTGATGTTGGTTCCATATTCTGTATCTCTCTTCTCTTCGTTCCTTCCTTTCGTTCCCTTCCCTTTTCTCCCGATCTTCTTTCTTCTATCTCTGCATCCCTTCCTCTCCCAGTTTATCATCTTTACAGACCTTTTGTGCTAAATTGTTGTTGTTGTTGTGTGTGACATGGTATGTGTGTGTATCTGTGTGTGTGTAGGCACATGCACACTATAGCACAGGACAGCTTTTAGGGACCAGTCCTTTCTTCCTACTGCAGGTAGCTGAGATCAAACTCAGATTGCCAGGCTTACACCACTTAGCCATCTCTCCATTCCTAATGACATTTTTTGGAAGTCACTACTGCTTTCAAATGTTTATGCTTGTTCTGAGTCCACTTTTATCATTCCCAGTGCTCCTGAAACTCCGTAAAGGATGAGGGCACCTGAGAAGACCCTGGCAACAAGAGCTGTCAATCAAGAAGTGACTCGGTGCACTCGGGATCTACGTGTGACATTTCCAAGAACACTTTTAATCTTTCCTTTTTCCTTTAAGCAAGGATCAATTCTGATCTCTGTGTTGTGTGTCTGTTCTCTGCTCTCCGCTCCTCATGCTCCTCCTACCTCAGCCCTCTGAGTGCTGGGCTTACAGGCGTGTGCTATTTCACTCACAGGAACACTTTTTAGTATTGCTGTATGTTCCTCAACTGTTATTTTAATACAAATCTTGTCTACAATAATCCAAAATACAGTTTTCACCATGTATTCCCGGATTCTAAGTGACACAGGACATTGTGTCATGTTTAACGGGGTGGGAGGGGGGTTAGTTAGTGTTTATGAAGAAACAAAGTTTCAGAGTAGACCCAAGAGAAGGGGAGCAGGTTTGGGAGGTGAACAAAGGACATGGGGAACTTGGCCCAGGCTGGGCAAAACTCTGAAAGCTGATAATGTTCCCCCTGCATCCTGCAGGTGGCACAAACATGGTGGGGTGGACTGGGAAGCCCTGTTCCAGCATGTTGATCCCTTAGCAGGAACACGGAACTGGGGAGATGGGGAGAAGGCTTGGGGGGTAAAGTACAAGTGTGAGGAGCTAAGTCTGGATCCCCAGACAGGGCAGTTCACAGCTGTAATACTGACTCTCCTACCTCGAGATGGGAAGTAGAGAGGAGAGAATGCCAGGAAGCTTGAGAGACAGCTAGCCGGTTGTACACACCGAAAAACACTAAGAGACCCTGTCTCCAATAAGGTGGAAGGTGAGGACAGATACCTCAGGCTGTCTCCAACCTTCACACACATGCAATGACATATGAGCACTGGCACACACATACACACACACACACACACACACACACACACACAAATAAATAAATAAATAAATGCTTTAGAAAGAGAAGAAAATAGATTCTGAACCAAGCTAACTGAGCTTTTTTTCTGTGCTAGAAGCTAACTAAATGCTTTTCAGACATCAGCTCCATGGATTCCCGATCCCACATAGGAAGGGATACTATCAGTCACACTGCAGTGCTGAGGGACCTCATGAAATAAATGAACTAACGCCAAGAGCGCAGGGTCACTCTGCTGAGCCCAGACTTCCTGGCTCCCAACCCTACTCGAAAGGCTGCCTCTGACAAGAGCTGAGGGATGCTTCTGGAATCATCTATGGGGAGATTCTTGGGCTCAAAGGCAGAAAATGAGCAGTGAGAGAGGTACACCGTGACACAAATGTGCTTCTGGCATGAGGATTATAAATACACACCATGCCAGATGGTCCTTACAGAGAGCACGGGGAGGGTTGCCACGGATCCGTGCTATGGATGCTATTTAAACCAGGTTCAGCCACCAAGTCCTCTGTGATCTCCATTTTTAAAATTCCTGGATGAGTGGGCTCTGTTGGGGGAAAAATGGTCTCATTTCCAAAGCTGTGCTTTCATGGATAGTCATTGCAAATGGCTCTGAAGTTAAAAACACACTTCCCAAAGAAGTAACAAAAATAGTGTTCCATAGAAAATAGAATAGTACTTCCCAAAGTGGGTTCCTGAACATTATCAGGACCTCGAAACACGTTAGAAGCTGAAGTTCATGTGGTCCACCTCATTCCTTCCCTTACACATGTGACTGCAATGTGGGTCTGAATTTGAAAAAGAGTGTTCTAGAGACGGAGGGGGTCTGTGGGGTCTGAGTCCCAAGCAGAGAGCCTACAGCCTCTGTGGCCCTGCTCTGTCAAAGACTGCTCCCATTGATTTATTTACTTACTTGTTCTCTCTCTCCCTCTCTCTCTCTCTCTCTCTCTCTCTCTCTCTCTCTCTCTCTGTGTGTGTGTGTGTGTGTGTGTGTGTGTGTGTGTGTGTGTGCCGGAGCACATATGCCACAGTGCACATGCGGAGGTCAAAGAACAACTTTTGGTAGTCAGTTCTGGCTTTCCAACTTGGCACTCCTGAAGCCCTCTCCACTCCAGGCTAGCTTGCCTGCACTTCTAGGAGAGTCTCATGCCTGTGTTTGCTGTGGCTGGAGTAGTGCTGGTAATGCGCACTACCACATCGCTGTTTATGTGGCTTCTGGGGACCCACACTCCACTCATCAGGCTTGTGAGAGAAGCAGATTTCTTCACTGAGTCATCCCCACACCCCCAATTTCTCCTTAAACTGGAACCCAAGGTCAGGAGTCCCAACCTTCTGATGCCCTTCAGCAGAGAGCAGATGAGAGTCCCATGGTACCTTGTCTTCATCTGGAGCTAAGGCACAGAGGTCCTTGGGCACAACCTGACACCAACCCATTGCTACTGTTTGCATCTCGAAGTCCCCCAAGGCACTGTGCTTCATCCTCAACTTGGTCCTATCCAGTCTGGTGTCAATCATTAGGAGGTGGGCCTCTCAGAGGGCCAGTAGGAACATGTCCTTGAAAATGACTGTGAGCCTTGTTCTCCCCCCACCCCATACATGCACGCACGCACACAAGAAACACTCTGCAGTCCATTATAACAGAGATGACCTCTCTCTCTCTCTCTCTCTCTCTCTCTCTCTCTCTCTCTCTCTCTCTCACACACACACACACACACACACATACACACACACACGAGAAACACTCTGCAGTCCATTATAACAGAGATGACCTGGGAAAAATTCCTGGTACCCGGAGTGTATGCCAGCAATTCTTTGCATTGCTGCCAGGGGAACAAGCCAGAACTAGGAATGGGTACAACCTTCAAAGTCTAGTGGCTCTGATGGGCTTCACCCTTTCTCTGCATGAACATGCCCCAGCCACTCTTCCTTTTCTGGTCTAGCAGCGCCAGCTCACTCAGGTGCCTACACCCAGGTCAGTCCAGGGATCCTGTTCCACCCACACATGTACATTGTAGAACAGTTTGCTCTGGAGGTGGGAGGGAGACTCCTAAGGATCAGGAAGTAAACAACACTTACCCCACCCTTAGGTTATATAAGCAGTAAGGATTGCTAGGGAAAGGATCCTCTAGTCAGCCAAGCTGCCTGGACATCATATGGGAACTCCACAACTCAGCTTCCCTGGGACTATTGGCCAGTCTCCTAAGAGCCTTGCCATACTATATCTTGGAATCTTTTGGTCATTTGAGGAAGTATAGCTATTATAAACACATGCAGCTTCAGGTCCAATCAAGGTAACATCTTGTGGGTCCTCACTATCTGCCATGATTTACTGGACTTTGTCACACAGCAATATAGTACCTAACTTTCACAAATAAGAAGAATCCGGTAGCAAACATCAAGGTGTAGGACACACCGGATGCAGTGTACCCTGGTCTCTGGACCTGACTCACATCTTCACTGGGTACCAACTGGAAATTCTGCCTGGTATGGATTAGCACAATCCTGTGTAGCCAATGAGGGTGGTTTGATGAGTGAACCTGCCCCCATCCAACCAGGTTCAAACAACTGCCACCATGTTCTCCCTTTAGTGAGACTGGAGGAGAAATTTGCCAATGTTCACAGATTCTTCTTCTGAGAAGTGCTCCTGGACTCAACTCTATCGAGGAGAAACTCTCTTCCATAATTCCCAAATTAGCATCCTCTCACCTTCATGAGTGCATATACAGCCCATTGCCTTGAACCCTGGACCCCAGAGGCCCTCCACTGCACTCCCTGGGCTTGACACACACTTCACTGCAAATACTGATAAATGGGAAACCAGGGAACACTGCTTAGGGCCAGTACACCAGTACCAACTGAGTTTTATTCCAAAGGCAGAGCACGCGTGCACACACACACACACACACACCGAGCATGAAAACACCAGGTCTTCCGTGTCTTCTTGCCCTCAGGAGTGTTGTGAGACACCCAGGCTGGAAGCACATCTTGGAACAAGCACATATAGAATGAATAGGTAGGGCTCAAATTCAAGGACAGCCATTTTAAGCTGCCTGAGTATCCGGAGGCAGAGAGGGCCAGTTCACACTGGTGTTCGCTCTCCTCTTTCTGAGCTCCAGAGAAGCTGTAAAAATAGACTCGCTCCTTTCTCTGGCTCATCTAACTGAAATCAACACGGGACCTGTTTGTTTTGTAGTGAAAGGGAGATCTGGGATACAGAGACAGACTACCGTACTTGTTAGGGTCAAGTATGAGTCCTTCTCAGACCTAAGGAAGCAGGTGAACAGGGGTCCCCTCCATCAGCTGCACTGTGATGGGCATCCAAGTACATAGCATAACATGCTTTGTGTGATGTGTTTATGAAGGCAAGACACCCTAGCATTTCCTCACCCAGTGTTTCTCGAATGAGAAAGTCACCCTAACCCAGTTAAGGCCCTGCACCATGGCTTTGGGGGCATGCAGCCCCCAAAATTCCTGCCCACTTAACTGAGTTGGTGCCATTCACCTCCAAGAGAAAATAATTAACAGGAGGCCTGAATAAACGATGGTCACCACCTCCCAGAGGTGTCATGGAACCACATAAGCCCCAAGGTTCCCACAGGTCTGGGCCTTACCTGTTCTTCTTCCTGTTCTCTGTCTTCCACTTGCAAACCTACTCCTGGCGAGGACAACACTTGAGGAGAGCAAACCCACTGCAAACAACATAAATCTCTTGTTAGTAAATGTGTCCCTCTCCTAAAACACACCGCACTGTCTGGGACCCAAATGAGTCGGTGAGTTGATGTCCATGAGACACAAACAATGAGAGGCAGTTGGCAGGTAGCAGAGCACATCACGAGTAGGGTGAGCCCTCAGGTCGGGACGGCTGCTGTGCAGTGGCCCCGATCCTGCCCCCCAGGTGTGCAGTGATGAGAAGCGGCAGAGTGAGGGTGGAGAGGTGGGGTGGGTTATGGGGATGAGAATGCCGAGACTCACAGATCTGAAGTGAATGGAGTAACAGTTTTACCTGGAGTCAGAGAAGGTGAGCACCCAGAGCCTGAGCTTTCCAGGTGACATCTTGGAAGATGGAGTGGCAGCACCACGCTGGGGTCTGGTCCAGCACTTCCTCCTTCAGCTGGAGAGGAACTGCCCAGTGGAGGCAGATGCAAAGAAGCCACACCCACCACAGGGGCGGGTGTGAGGAAGCCACGCCCAAATAGGAGAAAGTGTGAGGAAGCCACACCCACACAAGGGTGTGGTGTAAGAAAGCCACGCCCACACAGGGGCGGGTATGAGAAAGCCACGCCCAAATAAGAGCAAGTGTGAGGAAGCCACACCCACACAGGGCGGGTGTGAAGAGAGCATAAAGGGGCAGATAGAAGTGGCTATTTCCCCGGACACACAGAGAACTGCCGTTCTCAGAAACACCATCCAGGCCTCTGTTCCCTTTTCACATGGCCATGGCTTCCTTGCTCTTTGCTCACATTCAAATCCCTATAACTAGCAAGGGTGTATCTCTCGGATCAACACCATGTGTTCTAAGCCATGACCCTCACATTAGAAGACTCTGTGGCCCACCTTGTCACCAGATCTGTCAATCATGGTTGACCGTGTACCTTTGGCTGGCTTTACTGCATGTTTTTGGTGCCACTCCCAGGGACAGTATTTCAAACACCCACAGACATACATTAGCACCCAGAGGAAAGTCTCTGAGACCCCAGCCAGTACCCTGAGCAAGGACAGAGAGAAAAAGAAGAAAGATGCTTTGCTTCTATAGTTTTACCAGAGTGGAGATTCTCTGAATCTTTCCGTTCCAAAGCAAAATTCCTGTAAGCACAGGCCTGGACCATCACAAAGCCCATGTGTGATGTAGGATGTCCTTCTGAATGTGTATTGTTACTTTTATTGTTTAATTAGTAAAGCTGTTTTGGCCAATGGCTTGGCAAAGTAAAGTCAGGTGGGAAATCTGAACAGGGACAGAGAGGCTAGGAGGAGTCAAAGGAGATGCCATATAGCTGCTGAAGGGGTAACGTGCTACCCCTGTAAGCCACAGCCTCACGACAATGGACAGATTAATAAAAACAAGTTAACTCAATAGTTAGAGCTAGCCAGTAAGAAGCCTAACAGATTAGCCAAATAATTGTAACTGATATTAACTCCAAATGATTATTTCATAAGTGGCTTCAGGAACAGGCTGGTGGAGAAAAACCGGTCCATGGACCAATGAGATGGAGGTACAGCTAGCTACATCTACCACCCAACGTGGAGCTACAACACATATCCAGAAGGACATCCTACATCACATGTGGTATCTGTTGATAGCCACATGCAAAACTCTGGACCTGACAGGAGTCTGTGGGCCCATTTAAATAAGGGATGCAAAGAACCTAAAATGCATCAGATGATTTCCCTTTCCAGAGTTCAGAGATGCAGGCTCATGTTGGGCCCCGGACAACGTTTCACCAGTCACCTGCAACTCATTCAAGACCCCAACAAGCTGCACGTGACTGAGGGCAAAAGTGCACAGGGTCCAGAAAGGAAGCAAACTGACAGTTAAGATTCATCCCAGCCTTGCGGGGAGTGGACTGGGTCCTTTGTGACCAGAAAGCCATGTGTGACCTCTGTGATTATTCTTGAGAAGATAGACTATCATTGCTCTAACCAAACACCTAACTAGAACCAATTTTAGGAGGCGGGATTTGTTTGGGCTTGGTTTAGGAAGGGGTACAGCACAGTCCACTGTGGGGAAGACAGCATGGCGGCAGGCATGTGCAATCGCTGGTCACACCGCAGCCACAGCCGAGAAGCAGAGAGAGAACACTGGCGATCAATTCAATCTCCTTTTCATTCAGTCTGGGACCACAAGCCATGGAATAGTACTGCCCATGTTCAGGGTAGGTCTTCCCTGCTCAGTTAAACCTACCTGGAAATGTTCTCATTGTCTCCTCCAGAGATGTGTTTCCATGGTGATTCTAAATCCCATCGATTTGAAAATGAAAATGAACCATCACACCCCGGATGTGTGTGAGGAATGAGGAAAGAAGGGAAACACTTGCTTTAGGCAAGTGACCACTCCTCAATCGGCTCTCCTGTGTATCTGGCTTGGGGCCTATACAGACACCCTTGGCATGTTGTGCGTCTAGGATATGACCTTTGAGCAACGACTGAAGCTGACAATCAAGATTAAACATCGTTAGGACTTTGTGCTTTGGCTGGGGAAGTGCCGCCTCTCTGGGAACTCTGAATTTAATTGTACAGTGTAGATATTCATAGCTTTCCACTGTCCAAAAACTGGCTTTGGTGGGGACCTCCAGTGACAGAGTTGAACACAATCGTGACGGAGGACATTTCTTATCTCCTTACAGATTTCAGCCAGCAGGGCTAATCTAAGAAGACTCACAGCCATATCCTGCATGAGCTCAAGCCCAGTCTCCATAGCACAAGGTCAGGGTCCCCTGACCCAGGAAATACTGTTATGCAGTTCCAGTCGTATAGATGAGGGACCACAGCTTTGACATCATCAGCCTTGAGGCCAGGGCCAGTGTCCCATCTTTGTGGTCACGGTGGCCAGTGTAAAAACCTAACAGCCTCACATGGATAAATGTGGAGGCTTCTGATAGACCTCCAGTTAGGAACCAGGTGACATTGGTCCTGGTTCCCATCCTCGGTCCTTGAGTCCTTTGAGGGTCCTGCAGAGCAGGCAGAGATCCATCGTATCACAGTTGTTGGGAGCGGAAGGAAGTGAGGTCATCCGCTTGCTGAGCTATTCTTATAAACCTAGAACAATTAAAGTTTCACTGCCCGCTACAGTGGAGCTTCTGTGTTGCCCCTTTGACACTGCAAAGTGCACTTCTCATCCGCAAATACGGTAAGTGGGGGAACCCGCCTCTTTCTAAGCTGCACTGGACATGGTGACTTTTAGAGGAGGGTGCAGGGCTTGTGCTCTCTGAGCCTGCTAAGAAGGAGCCCTGTGGGAAGCAGTGGCCTCAGCAGAATCTCCCACAAACTTCCACAAGCCCTGACTGAGGTCCTTAGCTCCGCTGTGCATCCCATCCACACGGGGGTCTGGGGGAAGGAACACCTCCCGCAGCTTTGCTGCCTCTCACACTGTTGGTGGTCACTTATAGTCCTTTTTCCACTGTGATGAAGAAAACCTTGGCAATCAGACTAAATCAACTCCAACAGGAGCTCCTATGACCAGGCTTTGTCCTGTATAATCTACAGACATTATTCTGGTCCCCTTCTTACTTGGTGTCCAAATCCAAAACAAGCTCACTATTTCACCTGGCAGAGATAGGCCCTGCAACCAGGCCATCTTCTCAGCACAGTGGGCAGAGATTAGATTGAACATATCCCCAAGTCTCCTAAACCAAGATATCAGGAGTATAGGATTTTTGACCGTTACTGAGCCACTAAGTCTAGAAGCAATTAAATGTACATTTTTAAAGTTATGTTTTAATTGGAAAACAGTTAAAAGTCATCTTTTGGTTGGAAATCCATGCCTACTATTGCTGAAAAGAAAACAATGAACAAGCTCACTTGCCATGAAGCAGAACAAAACTAAACCTATCTTGAAAAGCCATGTGATACCACTGTCGGTGCCTCCAGATAATGTATGGGTAAGAATTTTAAGTTATATTTTAAAATAAAGTAAAAACAAATGCTTAGAGGTTATTGCTTACAAAAAAACAGATTTAATTAACTAAATATCATGACTGAAATACTTTTAGAAACAAGTTCACCTAGTATCTGCACAATCTGACCATACTATGTTTTCCTGCAACCACCCAAGAATATTCTTGCTATATAAGTTCTGGAGGAAGTATTTCATTGGAAAGGCAGGCACAGCTAACACCTAGTTAATAGTGAGGCCTTTAAAGCCCCACACTGTGCTGAATCTACAAGGCAGGGCAGAGCATTCCTCTGGACCCACACAGCTTCTTTTTAGTGTTGATGTGTCCAGTTGTTTCGTGTGAGTGTGCTCCAAGAACTAACTTCAGTAAGAAACATACCACATAATAGAGATGACGCAGGGATAGAGAACGTCACAGAGAGCAATAATGTAACTTTCAAGAGTCTAATGAAACCTTAGGCAATGCTGCTGCAATCAGAACGTAGCACCACCTTTTCTGAGTCCAGGATTGACAGTCCCCTTGCCCTATCACACTGAAGCATTTTTATACAGTGGGATGGGACTGGAGAAAGGGCATCCGACCTCTATCCCCACCAGTGCTGGCTACACCTGCTTTCTCTTGTGGTGTGAGGGCTTCTGTCCTCTTAGATTCCACCCACAGGTTCCTAAGAGAAAATCCTCATTCGAGAGAAAATAATAAGCCCCCTCCCCAGCTCTCCTTACTACCACCTCAGAGAAGCAGGGCTCAGTCTATGTCCCTTAAATGACCCTCAGCCATGTATGTCATCTGGCTCAACACTGGGCAGCTGGGCAGAGCAGAGATCCCACATTGCCCAGCAGCACAGCAGATGGCAGAACTTAACAAATACATCCATGGCACAAAAAGGCCTCAGCAGTCCAAAGAGGGGACCCAGTGGAAATGATTGTAGTTGACTTTATCCCTTTAAAAACAATCACCACACAGGAGAATGTGAGACTCGAACACAGTTCCCACGCCCATGGGCAGTGGCACTCACTCTGCGCTAGATGTAACAGTGTATACTTTGTCAGTGAGAGAAAGTGAACATGGCCATTGTGGTTTGCATAGGAATGGCCCCCATAGGTTCATATACTTGAATGCTTAGTCATTAGAAAGTAGTACTACTTGAGAGGGATTAGGAGGTGTGGCCTTGCTGGAGGAGGTATGTCACTCAAGTGGGCTCTGGGATTTCAAATGCTCAAGCCAGGCCCAGTCTCTCTCTTCCTGCTGCCTGTGGATCATGATGTAGAACTCTCAGCTCCTCCTCCAGCGCATGCCTGCCTGCAGGCTCCATGACAACAATGGACTAAACCTCTGAAATTGTAAGGCAGCCCCAATTAAGTATCTTTCTTTACAAACCTTACCACAGCCATGGTGTCTCTTCACGGCAATAGAACACTGACTAAGACGCCGTGTCTTTTGTCTTAAAGGCAGCCCCACTCCAGCATGAATGGATTTCTCCTTCCTCTGATTGTTTCCCCAAAGTCACCACAAATACTGTTCCTGCCCTTTCTGGCTTAACCATTGAGGCTGTCCACCCTAACCCACACTTCTGAAAAATCCCCAGCCCATGACCAAGTCCCTCAGAAGCCCTAGCAAGAACCATAGCCTGTAAGTGAAGCTCATTCTGCCTCTCTCGCCTTCTCTCTCACCCTGATAAAAGTGCCCTTGCAGTTGTCAGCAGTGAATGAATGAGTGACCAAGGAAACAGGCTTCCCTTCAATAAATGAGCACTTTCTTTAGAGCATAATCCTTCCTTCTTTGGTTTAGACCACCAATGCAGCTGTGTTCCCACCACGTGTCTTGAGTTGCTTTAGGGAGAAGAGAAATGCCAACTCTTGACCACAGATGGCTTCGGGGAGGAGGAAAGGCATCACTACAGAACTTAGGACAGCGATGCGGACATGACAGCTAACGCCTCCACGTGAGGACTTAAGCCTTCAGACTTGGTTTCCTGACTCCGAGAAGCACAACACAGTGATCTGGATGAAGCAACCAGGCACCATTTTCTGAGGAGGGTGTTTGAGCAATTTCACAACTATCAGTGCAACAGATACCCTCCCCACTCCCACCTCCCCCCCTTACCCCCCCTCCGCTTCAGAAGCTCTACTGTGTCACAGCCTCTGTCGTCCTCCTCTGCAGCATGACTGGAAATCAGCATTTTTCTGACAGCTCGACTCTTCCAGGAAGTATATTTTGCTACACTGTTTCATAGAAAAGTGCTTCAGTCCTGGCCCCTGAGACACTTCGAATGTTGGAAACACATGTAAAATATTTTAAATTATGCCACTTGTAGGGAAAAATATGGAACCAGAGACCACTGTGTTAAGTGAAATAAGCCAGGCTAACAGAAGAGTGTGTGTGTGTCTGTGTGTGTCTGTGTCTCTGTGTGTGTGTGAGTATGTTATGTATGATGAAAATGGAAGGGAGTATTATACCAGGGGAGGGGGTAAGTGGAACAGGAAAGGACAGTTGGGGAGAAAACAAAAATTGTATGCTTTCTCTCATGTAGAATGAAGATCTAAATATACGCAACACGAAAGTAGAAATACTATTTGAGGAGAGAAAAGGACAACGGGGAAGGGAAAGAGGGAGAAAAGAATGGCAGGAGGTGAGTGTGAATGCAGCAAATTAGCACGCGTGTGTGAAAGTATAATGAAGGTCAGTATTTTATACTAAAATATTAATAAAAATCAAATAAGCTGTCATAATGAAACCCAATATTCTGAATACTACCTAAAATATTAATTGACAATAAAATATTTTTTAAAAATCAACCTCCTTCCTAAATGATTTTCCCCATGAATATCTCTACATCTAATCCTGTGACATTTGTTCTCTCTGTGCACGACTGGAAACTCACTTAGATGTCTCGATATTTGTTTTTCGGAAAGGAAATAGTTTGGTAATTTTAGTATTGATCTTGAATTAGTGGCTCCGATGTTGAAGAAATAAGCACGAAAACACAAGTTATCCCTTAATTCTGATTATGTTTGCGGCTTAGTTATAAAAAGACCCCAGAAGGGTCGAGGGTTCATCATGGTGCTCCTGGTGGGAGACATATCTCTCCACACATAGACAGGTACAACTACATTTTAACACACTGTGAGCCCTGCCTCCATTACCAGCCTCCAGTGTCAGAAGGGCCAGGCTTTCTTCTAGAAACTCCTAGGATATAAGCTTTTGTGACCCTTTCCTTTCAGAGGTACAACCCCAGGAGTCTACTTTCAAGAGAGCTTACCTGGTAATCTGAGTTCTTGTACTGAAGTCCAGAGACCTCATTGAGCGCAGAACTTCAATGCATCCCAAGTACTGCAAAGAGAGAAAACAGTTCATGAGTCCTGGGAGCTGAGAGCAATAGAAAAGCACTAATGATGTCAGGAGGTTGGGGAAGCCATATACATTCTTACACACGTTGTACCTTTAAATTGAAGGGAAGGGGGCCGGTGAGGTGGCTTAGTGGTTAGAGGTGTCTGCCGCCAAGCCTTGTGCCCTGAGTTTAATCCCCGGGGAGCCACGTAGAAGCAGAGACAGCTCCTACAAGCTGTCCTCTGACCTTCACATGCACACTGCTAAGCTCTTGCTCTCTCTACTTATCAATCTCCCTATCTCTTTTCTCAGAGACAGAGAATAAATCATTTTTAGTTTAAAAATGATTTAAATTCTAGGTGCAATGTATTTTTATTAAAACCCTAAACCTAGACTTTTATCTATCAGAAAATATCCCAAGTGCCTAGATTGACAGAACCCTTGACTTTTATAAAACCTGTGAGCATTGCCATTTTCTTTAGAGGTATGTTTTTCAACATTTTTATTAAATAATACCTTATATAGTGTGAGATGTGAAAATCTTAAATGTTTATGTTAATGCTATTAAAGCATACTTTCAATAATAATGCTTCCCCTCTACCCAAACATCATATTCCTGGATCTATACAAGACTTCTAAAGGTTCTTAAATAATAATATTTTGGTTTTTTGAGACGTGATTTCTCTATGTAGCCTTGACTGTCCTGGAACTCTATAGACCAGGCTGGCCTTGAACTCAAAGATCCACCTGCCTCTGCCTTCTGAGTGCTGGCATCAAAGGCATACACCACCACTTGCCCAGCTAGGCTCTTAAATTTAGAAGAAGAGGGAGAATGAGGAGGAGGAGGAGGAGGAGGAGGAGGAGGAGGAGGAGAATTTGCCACTATACAACCAACACTTTTACTAATGCTAAACCTCTCTGTCTTAGTTAGGTTTCTATTACTGTGATTAAAACACCATGACCAAGTAGCTTGTGGAGGGAAGGGTTTCCTTCAGCTGACAGTTCTATAGCACAGGCCATCACTGAGGGAGTCGGGGCAGGAACCCAAACAGGAGAAGAGCCTGGAGTCAAGAGCTTATGCAGAGGTCATGGGAGAGTGTGCTGTTTATGGCCTTGTTCCTCATGGCTTGTGCATCCTGTTTTCTTATACACCAAAGGACCACTGCCCAGGGGTGGTACTGCCCATAACAGGTTGGGCCCTCACTCATCAATCACTAATTAAGAAAATGCCCTACAGACTTGCCTACAAGCCAATTACATAGAGGCATTATTTTCACAATTGTGAGTCTCTCTTCCCAAACATCTCGAGCTTGTGTAAAGTTGACATAAAACTAACCAGGACACCTACATTATCTAATAGATATATTTTCAGGGTTATGAGTAAGCTACAGAGCACTTCAGTTTAGCAGAAAGCCTTCTTCACTGTTTACCTCACGTCTCCAGAAGGTCAAGAGCACACACTGCAGTGTGGAACTTAGGTCAGTCCCGCTCATAAGGATGTGCAGGTGGACAGTCATGGCAAAGGAGGCAGTGTCTGCTCTAAGCCCTGGGAGGGCTAGAAGACACAGGCGCCTTCAAACTAGACTGCATGAGCCTCGTGAAGTCTCATAATGTGGTGCAAATAGCAGTTTGTTTGCATTGTACAGAAAACCCAAGCCTGGGCCTGGCTTTGCCGTCTATTGTTATGTAACTTTATGTAACACTTGACCCACTTCTCGAAACTGAAAGTCTCTGCACCTACAAACGTGGTTGTTCCTCCCTCCTCGGCACCAAGGTCAATGTCAAGGTGGCGGAATACCGCTGGCCCCTTCTGAGCCTTGTGGGTTCTAAGGGCAATGATAGAACTCTATTCTGCTAGACAAGTCTCCACCACAACCACAACTCTCTGGGCTGGGAGATGGCTCAGTCGTTAGAGTGAAAGTCTTCTAAGTATGAGGATCTGGGTTTGGTCCCCTGGATCCATGCACAATAAGCCAAGCATGGCAGAATGAAATTTAATTCCAGTTCTGAAAATGCAGAGACACAGGATCCCTGGGCTTGCTGGACAGCCAACATAGCTGAATTTTGTGAGCTCCAGGTTCAATGAGAGAGACTCTCTCTCAAAAACCAGGGTAGAGAGTGACTGAGGAAGACACCCTAAATTAACAACTTTTCTATACACACATATGTATGTGTACATGTTCCTGCAGACACATGCAGATAAACAAGAGTACGTATACACATATATATGCACACATCTGCACACATACTTCCCCACACAATCGTAACTCTCACCCATGAGTAAAGCATCCTGAATTCCTAGATTGGCACCACATTTGACTTTCCTAAAACCTATTAGCATCATCATTTTATTTAGATGTACATTTTCCAAAGTACCACAGAATTATATAATTACAGAATCCGATGTTCCTGTGATGAATGGGCCAAATGTCACACGCTTGTGTGATGACCACCATTATCGGAGTCAACACATCCTACACTGCATTGCAGAGTTCTGTGAAAAGCATGTCCAGTATCCAGAAGTTAGATGAACACAGTCCATTATCCATGGCCACTGTGAATGCCAAGTTCACAGATACCCTGAGACTGGGGGAACATAGTGACCATCATTGTGGTGATGTTAATACCAGGTCTAACACAGAGGAGCTGTGAGGATGTCACGGGACACCATGCAGCACAGGTACAGAACAGTGTCACTTCCGTTACACTGGGAATCCCAGCTAGTCCAGACGCTGAGGCAGGGGAATCACAGACCTGCCCAGTAGCACAGCCTATGCCTGGCCAGACTGTGTCACAGTGAAAGCCTCCCTCAAAAGAACGGTTGAAAGGGGGCTGGGGGTGTAGCTCACAGACAGAACACCCACCTACCATGTGTGAGTAAGGCCTAGGCTCAACCTCCAACACCATAAAAATTAATTTATTAATTAATGAGATAAAATGTTCGGTGATAGAGACAGACCGTGATGTTGGTATTTCCTCAAAGGAAATATGAAGAAACATTTGTTCACAAGTATGTGGTACTAGCATCCTAAGAGCTTGTGGACAGCATCATGTGGAGTGTCAGGGGTGAACACATCCCCACTAAGGTCTGGAGCAAGGTGAAGATGTGCAGTTTAACCACTACTGTCCAACAGAGAGGTAGAAGTCTCAGTCAGGGCAACCAGCAAGACAAAGAAATACAACACACTGGGGTTAGAAAGGAAGAAATCAAATTGCCATGTCTGCGTGTGCGCTTGCACACACATACCTATTAGAATAACAAATTAAGAATAATTATTATCGATAACAAAATCAGCAAAGTGGCAGGATGCAAAATCAATGTAATAAAATCAGTATCTTTTCTACACGCCAATAACAAATTACCTGAAAAAGAAATCAAGAAAGCAAATGCATTTATAAGTTACCAGAAATAAAATTCAAAAAAATGTTAAAGAGATGAAAAAATGGTTACACTGAAAAGGATACAATGCTTACAAAAGAAAGGGAAGAAGATATAAAAAGGCTGAAAGCAAGCCCCTGTCTATAGATGGGAGAGAAAACTATTAAATGTCCATACTGTTCACAGCAATCTTCAGCTAGCTTCAATGAAGTCCATATGAAACCAGTCGCATTTCCACGGAACATCATCCTAAAATTCATAGGGAACTATCAAAATAAATAAATAAATAAAAACAGACAGCAACATCATCATCAGTGAAAAGAAAACAGCTGTAAACATCACCATATGGGACTACTTCAAAGTATACTACAAAGTTATAACTGTACTGGCTAGTTTTATGTCGACTTGATACAAGCTAGCATCATCAGTTAAGAGGGAACCTCAATTAAGAAAGTGCCTTCCCAAGATCAGGCTGTAGGCAAGCTTGCAAGGCATTTTCTTAATTAGTGATTGATGAGGGAAAGCCCATTGTGGGTGGTGCCGTCCCTAGGCTGATGGTCCTTGGTTTTATAAAACACAGACAAACAAATAAATAAATAAACAGGCTGAGCAAGCCTCGTGAAGCAAGCCAGTAAGCAGCACCCCTCCATGGCCTCCAGGTTCCTGCCCTGATTGAGTGCCTGCCCTCACTGCTTTGATAATAAGCTGCTATGTGGAACTGTGAGTGAAGTAAACTCTTTCCTTCTCAAGTCATGTTGGCCATGGTGTTTTGCTAAGGCTGCAGGATCATTCAGGCATCATTCATGAGGTCAACCCGTCAGAATCAAGATTCTCTTGGAGGATTAAAACAAGACGTACGGTGTATTGCAGTTATTGCCTTATGAATGAACTGGCTGTTTCTGGCTGCAGATTTCTCCCATAGTTTACTCCCATCTGCTAGAAATTTGGGATATATCTCCCACGGTTCAGCTCTATTTGATCATTCATTGGACACAATTTCCCCTATGCATTTGGGATATATTGATAACATCTCCAAGGTATGTGTAAGAACAGTCACATGGTCAAAAAAAAAAAAAAAACCTGTTTCCCACAGCCAGGTGCCTTGCTAATTGGATTTTAAGATAAATTATCGCCAAAAGAATACAACCTTATTTACTAGGACGTGTAGCCAGCTGTAGGATTTGTTGAGCCAAGGTAAACAGTGCAAAGTAACCAAGCTGAAGTAGCAGGGACTATAATTAACTCTGCACAGATTCCTAACCTCAGTGTTATGGCCTTTGTTCAGACACCATGGGATAAGTTCTCTAACTGGATAGGATTACCCACAAAATAAAAACTAATGTTATAGCCCCCCAAAAGGCATTACAAGCTTCTCTTTCTGTGGTAGGGTTACATACTGGACAGGAAAAGATATCTTAAGATTTGAGATGCTTTTAATGTCACTGTGCCTTGGCGAGGTGTATGGGCTCCTCTGCCCCTCACCCCTGCAGTTCCAGCTGCTGCTGCACTCTCTCTGGGGACACATTTGTAAACCAACAAGTCTCCAGTTGAGAAAACCTGGCCTTTACATCCACTATCCACAAAATGTTAAAGATGTTTTATGCCCTCAAAAGTATAGGCTGTA